CCCCCCCCCACCCTTTTTTTTTTTTTACAAGCTCCATGAATAATTGGGTGTTTTTAAAACTTACAAAAGCAATTTTCTCATATTCCCTTTTTTTCCCCACAACATAGGACTGTTTATCACATTTGTTGATGAACTAAAAAAAAATATTTAAAAAAAATAAAAAAATTACTTTGTCCATAAAGTAGAAAATTAAATTTAAATGCCCAAGATTAGAACTTTCTGCTAAAATGTTGTTGTTTTTTAAATTTTCACTGGAACTTGGAAGTTTAAAAAAAATATCCAGTCATGTTAATTTGTTTGCTATTGCTACATTTGTGTTTGCCCTATATAAGGTACTTCTCAAATATTGAATATTAACTGCATTCAGTCCCATTTTCTTTGAACAGATTGAATATTAGTAAGTACTGTACCAGTACTATTACTTTTATACAAGAAATAATAATTAAAGTCCATGTTTAGAATTTTGTTATTAAATCTCATTAGGATACAGTATTTACAATTTTATTTGCCTCAAATTTTAACAATGTTTCTTAGAATAATTGTTTATAATTAATGTATGAAGATTTTTTTTTTTATAGGTTGCTCTCCTTTTATCTAGTATTAATGAACAATAATTTTTTTAAATCTGAAAATGCATCTTTGTTTGAAAGATTATTTATTTATGCAAGAGAATTATATTTATTTTCAAATGTAAATATAGATCAACTTAAAGAATTTTATCTGTAAAATTAATGTTCATGTGATATGTAAATTAAATCATATCTATTAATATTAATTAAAAACTGCTATTTGAGGATCTTATTACATTAGATCCTGTCCACATATCATGTTCCCCATTTATCCAATTTAAAAGAGGTATGAAGTCACATTTTCTCTTTAACTTTTGGCAGTGGTGAGTTGCTTTAACATTAAATGTATTTAAATGTTTTCTTATAGTATAAATTAGAGCAGGCTATTTATTTTAATACATTATTTCAGGAAAAGATTGTGAGATTTCTTGTTCACCATTTCCATGGGACATACTCAACAGTTATAAGAACTGATCATTTCTGGAAAACTGGGTTTTTTTTTATTTTTATATCAAATAATCATTAGAATTTGTGAAAATTTTCATTTGTCTATGCAACCATAAAGGATATGTTTTGAAATAATTTGTTGGAAGCATTTGTGTTTACTGAAGATGTACATATTGTAAAATAAAATAAAAATATCAAGCACAAATTTTCTGTCATTGTGGTTTACTTTTGTATTGTTAACAGATTTCAACACTTTTCTTTGGGAAAAAAAAATTAAGTAAATTTGAAAATTACAGAGATTTAATAGGATATAAAAATATGCAGAATACATTATTATTAATATTATTGTTAGTTGCCATGGGAACTAAAAATTTGGGAAAGATAAATGTGGGAGGGGTGTGGGTGGAAACAAACCAGTTTTGACATACACAAATCAGAAGCTTGCATCTCCTTAAGTTAATTAAAGTTCATTTACCAAGTCCAGTACAGTTTATATGCATAGAAGTAACTTACATCTCAATCCAAATTTCTTATACATACTTGGCAAAAACAATCTAATGACTATGGTATAACTTACACCTGCACAACAATATTTTTACATTGCAAATGTAATTTTTTCCTATCAATTCAGTTAACCACAACTCTCTAAACCAGGTAGTCCAAACTGAGGCCATTTTATAAGATAATACACAACATAAGTTTCCAATGTACAAAGAAGCACAATAAAAACTATTAAAATATAACATACCTTACTGACTGACAAAATTGTAGGTGAGAAACTTTGAGTGAATTCCTAATTCTTTTAGAAAATTCAAAAACCATTAGACTTTTTACCACCTGGGTCATTCACTTTTATACATTTTGTTTTACAGATATTTTGATGCTCCATTTGCAATACATGGCAGGCAATTAATAGAAAACAACAGAACATTCACAGCTCCATTTGCAATACATGACAAACACTTAATAGAAAACAACAGAACATTCATAATTAAAAACACAAAATATTGATGCCAAAGTTTGAACAAATAAATTAAAACAACCAAAATTCTAATTATAAACTCTGCATAAAGAGATCAAACAATGTAGGTTAAACTAAAGATTATCATTAAATTTAAATGATTTTATAAATATGATATAAATGCAAGCTATGTTCATATTGTAATATTGGACATTTCTTTAGACAAAAATAAATGCAAACAGTTTTGAATTTCATGCATGCTGAAACTTAAAAGCAATACTTATATATATCTTTTAACAATCACAATATTTAAAAATCATTTTGTAAATACCAAAAAACGCTATTTAAAAAAATGAAAACATTTATAGAATTCAATAGCCATGAGATTTAAGCTCCATAAATTTTCACCAAGGGTGCAAAAATCCATATAACTACACTTACAGAACTATCAATAAGTTGCATTCTCTATCGTCAAGAGTATCAAAAACAGGCAATACATCGTAGTTTTATTAATTCTTAACTAAACAGCAGTCTCTCCTCTACTAAACTGACAAAAAATTTGTACAATCTATTGGATTCAGGATGATTGTGAATAGTACATGACTCCAAGTGACGTACTAGAAAACCATACAGTGATGACCCACCATAAAAAATAAGTAATGATACCACGATACCAGACTGGAGTAAAGATGCCTTTGATATCACCGAGAGCACCTGTTAGGTGAGCAGCCGATTCCATGATGGACCCCATTGCACTGTTTTCGACATGCAAATGGGGAAATGTCATGCCAGGTTTTGGACCCGTACTAAAAAACTCTACAGCTGTTTCTCCATATAGACTAGCCCATGACATTCCCCCAAGAGTTTTTAAAAGGAATGTTAAAAACAAAATCAAAAGTATAGGTGCTACATACTGAATGGCAACAACACACAAATAGAAAAAAACTCTCGCCACAGTCTTCTGTAAGTCAATATTTGAGATACGTCCACTTTCTTTCTTGATATTTTCAATCTTTTCATGAGCAAGGTTAAGATGGGTCTGCAGAAACATTGGCATAAGCAAAAGTCGTAACCCACACATTATTAGTACAAGATGCAGGCGAAAACCATCAAATTGGTCTTCATAAAATACAGCTTTCCCAAATTTTATAGTTTTTCCACATAACAAATCTCTGCCAACAGGTTTCACCCACAACATTAAAATTACCAGTGGTAAGAGATAATTTATTTGCACAAGCATTTGGAGGAGCCTTCTGCCTTGTGTGTATTTAAGGGTATCTTGGTGTAGTTTTGCCATACGTAATCCTGGAAAAGTAAGAAGTGACCCAACTAACATACCTAAAATAGCCAGGGCACTTTTGAAAGTGAGAAATGACAACGGACCATGCGAAGTCATGCCTTGCTTTTCCAGAAACGCTAGTGCATTTAACGAAAAGTTTTTATAACCTTCTTCTATACCAAATTCAATTATGTTGTCCCCTACAACTAGAACACCCATGGCAAACACCAGGAAAAAGAAAGTGAAGGTGAATAAAAGGACACGCTCTCCGCCTTCCTCTGTTCTCATATAAACCCAAGCTTGAGCTGCCAAGAGCCTTATACAAAATGCTATAGCCAATAGACACCACAGGACACTCAAATTAAGCTCAATTCTGTGAGGAGAAACAATGTAATAGATTTCTGTCAAAATATAAACTACCAATGCACAAAATGAAAAGTCCATTAGCCAGGTATAGTCAGAATAGTACTGTAAACTAACAAGGTCAATGTCTTCAACTTGAGCTTGATCAAGCTGAACAGGTAAGTTTCTCGGTACCGTGAAGGTCTCATCAGACCCAGTGATGGGCACATTCCTCCTTCGTTTTGCTTTTCCAGACTGATTAGCAGGTTTGCCTGATAGATTACCTGAACTAAGCTGCTTTAGTTCTTCATTGGTTGGATGTAAGTACCGATACAGACGCTTTGAGAGTATCCATCTGCCTATGGAATAGTATGGCGCAAGTTTGTGGAGAAATGTAAACATCACCAGGCTAAATACTACCTGCACTCCGAAGACAGCCATTTTTATATAGATTGTTTTTTTTATCAAAATGTCCTGCAAAATATAAAAATATGAATTTGTATGTTACATTTTCCATAAGGTTTGAATTGTTTAAATATTTATAAGCACAAAATGATAAACTTAGCAGTAAGGGCTAGGCCTAATCGAATTGAAATAATTTGTATCATTTTATTAGGCTAAATTACTCTTAAATATAAATAAAGCAGTCTCTAGTCTATTGAGCCTAATCATAAATACATGATGGATCATTAGGGGATAAGTGGTAGGGGGTTTAATAGTCTGCAAAAATAGTGTGAGGTCATTTATGGATGGCCCCTGCCCTAGTGCACAAAATTTAGGCAACTCGTAACATCTTGACAACTTTGCGACCTGACATCCCCACCCCCCCCACCCTTTTTGCATCCTTGCTGCGTGACATCATTAATAGATGAAATCACAAAGTAAACTTGTAGACTAACATTAACAAGTTTAAATCAAGTAAGATATGAATCAATGCAGTACAGTGATTTAAAAAAATCATGAATATAGGCCCAATGAGGCTAACTGCTAATGACTAAATCTAAAGAACATACAAATTATTAGATTGAGAGCGGCAGGGGCCAACACTAACAATAAGAATAGAAAGTAACCATTAGTCTGTTAGTCAAAAAATAAGTGGCCACAAAAAAGTTATATGTCTGTAATAGTAATAAACCGTGATTCGTGATTCTTGTGTAAAGAGATAATTTAATTTGAAACTACTCTACTAGTACCAGTACTAGGCTTATAAAACTATAAATAGGCCTGACTATAGACTATTTATATAATTATAGTCTAAGTATTTAAGCCTAATTTTATATAAATAATATATATATTTAATATATATATATATAAATATATATATATATATAAAATATACTGATCTGAAAGTTTAGGGCCTTAGGCTTAGGGATATCAATATATATAATATTATAATAAAAATAGGATAAAAGTGCAATTCAGATGCATATATTATTTTTTATTGAATTTAGTATTTTTGCATGTTAACTTACTTATATTATATTCTTTATTAAATTAACTCCACGCAGTAATATTTAACTAACAAATGGTATACGCTAAATTGTCTTTTTATTTGATTCTACAGCTTTAATGGAACTTAAGTCGTAGCATAAATGATCTTATATTGTGTTTTTTTCTTCGTCTTCACACATATAAGTGGGTGTGCTAAATGAAATTTTCAAACTGAAGTCATGCACCGGTGGTACACAAAAAGAATGAAATACTGGGGGGATTTAAACTTAATTAAATGTTCTGCATTATGATTGGCCTCTGCGCCCAAATTCATTTTTTTCTTATATGAGGTATATAATATTATTCCAAACAAAGGCTCCTGCATGGCCCGGCATGGGTGAATGGATCCAGACCAAACTTAGTACACATACACTTGATTATTCATGTTCAAATAACGGTACTGAAGGGTAATAAACTCTAATTTTAATTCTTCCTTATATAAGCTTTATAAATACCAGTATGCTTAGACAACAATATAGGCTTCTACTTTTTGTGGATAGATGGACATAGATCAAGCTTTGTAGCTATATCCTTCGTAATCCATATATAAATATTGGTGGATTTAAAAGTAGCCCAATGATATGCGCTCCATTCGGGGCTGGTCTAGAATGTTCTATAATCTAATAGGTTAGATTTCGGAAAATTTTCATGGGACTACTTTTAAAGTTTCACTCCATTGTATTATTTATCTGACTGATTTTTATAGGCCACTATTCAAGACATAGCTAAAATGCACCTCTAGAATGGCCCTTATTGCAGGCATAAATAAAATGCACCATATAGAACTTAATCTCTGTTGCGAAAAAGGGTGCACTGGATTTAAAGGCGCATGTGGAAACGCCAAGGTATATTAAGAGTGTTCTCAGAAAAGCTTAATCTACCAAAGTTGCAAAATGTTTCATAACACCAGATTCGAACAGCGATTAATCAGTCTCAGCCTATTTTTGTTTACGAAGTGGATGCGTACACCGCGGCGGTGTACCTAGCGAAATAATCGGCTTTGGCCTGCGTAAACCGCGGCGGTGTATCTAGCGAAATCGTGGGCTTTGGCCTGGGTACACCGCGGCAAAAATGTACCATTGGTCTTCTTTTAAGATATACTTGTAGTTGCAGATCTTGTGTGGTCAAGTGGTAGAGTGGACGCTTGGCGTTAATATATTTCGAGATCAATTCCCAGTAGGGGATCGAGTTTTTGTTCCTCCTATTTTAGTTTTAAAATATTTTGTAGCAAATTAAACAATTTAAACATATTTTTAAATATTGTATTAAATTATATATATATATATATATATATATTATAGTGTTTCAACAAGTTGTGCCAGCCTTTGACTTTGAAAATACCGGTAAATTTAGTAATAAGACATTTAGACATTAGAAAATAAACTTAAAGTTTCTGAAAGCGCATGTATAGTGTATGTAACATGTATAACAGAAACATTTTGAATACTAAGTGATATCCTATTGTATTTCAACAATCTTCGTGTAGTTGAATATTTACATTTTACTTTTACGAACACCCAAAGAAAATACCAGTATATCATTAATATCATATGAGTATGAATATTAATGTCATTATTGTGCATGGTCGTATTTCAACCTTGAACCATCTTGCTTTCATCTTGCCTTATGCATTGGCAAAATGTACACACGATATCAAAGGTTCATTCACAACACTCAGTTTCACAGCAAATCTTTTGAAAACACCTCGATTTTAGAAACTTACGTCTATAGCAAAGCCATAGGAATAGGTCTGCGTTTACCCTTTTCATGACGGAATTTGTTTCCAGAATGGCATGGCATGTGCTATTCTCAGGGTAAAACATGACGCTTTCTCACAGAAACCATTGCACATTGGGCTTGGGACAGGATTAGCACTATGTCAAAGTTTTTGTATTTGTTGTTGTTTTTTTTTTTTAAGAAATCGACCCTTGCCGGGGTGGGGGGTGAGTTATGGGCAGAGGCTTAACCAAAAAAAGGGCCTACACAATCCACGGCTCTGGATAAGGGTTGTCCCCAAAGGACGTCCGCACAACAAACTTACCTTTTGCATCACCCCCCCCCTCCGCCGGCATTTTTTACTAACGTGTAATGCCAATGTAAAATTTAAATCAATGATATTTAATTATTGTTAAAAGACTTTAAAAATCACTGCAGTGTTTCGTATTTATCAGCATACTATTGTTTTGTGTTGACACATGCTTGGTATCACAATGACAATGCCTCGGACAACTTTAACTTCACGACTTCATGATCAATGTATGACCATGTGATTCTTTTCCCGTAGTGTATTTGTGTCGTAATTATATCTTGGTGCTAACAAAATAGATTCACTGGCTTTCTCATTCATTTTTGCACCACGCCCCGAGGGATCACATACAATGTTATATTTATAATGCTAAATCATGGTTTAACATTACACCTTCCAAAAAAAATAAGAAGAAATGCTCTACAAGTACTTTGCCACATAAGCGTGGAACTTAATCAATATCCTCCTCCCATAGTACTAAACGATTTTTAAATAAATAGTTTTCAGTTTTAACACGAGTATAACATTAAATCTACAAGTACCGGTTAGGCCAAAAAGTTAAAGACTCCCAAAGACCATAGTTTTGCTACTTAAAATCGCTGCGGTGTACGCAGGCCACAGACCATGATTTAGCTAGGTACACCGCCGCGGTGTACCCAGGCCAAAGTCAATAGTTTCGCTAGGTACACCGCCGCGGCGTACGTAGTGCCGGCCTTTTGTTTAACACTGTCAAACACCACCACAGCTATAAATTAATGCACCTTGTAGCATGGGCACTTACCAGGCCCCTCTTTAAACTTGAAATGAAAATGGGTTACAGTTACAATTAATTTGTTATTAATGCATTTTATTGCATATTTTTTCATATTCGACAAAGAATTAGTGTTTGGTGGCACTGAACGCGGCTCTTGGCCACTCACTACAGACCACTATAGAAATTATTTATAGTACGAGACATTGTCCATTAGCAGCTAAATTAAATTTGAATCAATTTTTTTTCATTAATAACTATAATATTTAGTCAACTACTACTTACTAAACTAAATACTAAAAATACTATTACTACTGAACTCTACTTTGACTTTTTACTTGGCCCATCATGCCTTAAAAAGATCATTTATGTAGAGATAGCTTGCATGCATCAAGCAAGATGGGAAATATTCAATAAAAATGCATCTTCCTTTTTCTTGAAATATCCTACAATTCTAATCTAGATAAAACAAGTCATACTTCGGAGATAAAATAATACCGTAAGAACGTTTGTAATGCACTACGCCGGTAAGGTTCAGCACTCGCTACTTCCTGACATTGAAAAAAGGTCAGGTCAGGGGTCATAATTTAAAGAAGACCGGATTAGGAAATCTTGTTTTCGCTACGTTGGCCAATCAACGATCGTTTATTATAGGGCATTGGGGGTTCAATGTTTTGATGTAGCCACGTCTATCTACTTAATCGGCTTGCTACGGACTGAATAATCACTATTGTTTTGCAGCAAACACTCTTCAAACAAAGGGTTAATAATAACCTTTCATGTTTCTTCAAGTGCTGAAAATTTCGCGAAATATAAATAGCTATGGAGGGAAAATACAACACCAGAAGTCCTGGTTAGTTAAGTTATTAAGTAAGACGAGTAAAGTTTAAGGCTGTGACTGTGTCGAGTCAGTAATTTTTTTATTTACTCAGTAATAATTTAGACTGCATCAAACTGGCCTTGCCTTGCCTTAAGTCATTTAAGTAGGTACTTGGACTAATTTTTCAAAATAAAGTTGCAGGTTTAACTTTAAAAGTTAGACAGTAGACAGGGCTTGAAATTAAAAACCCATTTGTCATTTGATTCATTCCAAATTTATCATTGAATCATTGTGTAGGTCAGTACTAAAAACTAAAGAAGGTTTGAAGTGTTATCATTTTTGGGGGGATAACTCTGTTAATTGAGACATGTCATAAAAGAAAATATAAAGGATCATAAATTAAGGGCTTCAGTGTGAAGGAAATAGCAGAGCAAGGTATGACAGTATGTGGAAGCCTTAAGGCTAAGGTGGTCCATGGGTCCAAAAAAAATGTATCTGTTTCTTAATTTAATTTTTTTTTTTACTACATACTATTTGTACACTAGTAGTAAGATAAAAAAAATACAAAAGTTTAATTTAACAATTTTTTGGGGACTTTTATTGTAAAGAAAGTATAATTTTGTACCAACTTTTACTGTTACACAAAAGTTATTATTAGATACTTCGATAAAACAAGGGAGACTACTACTTTTTTTGTATCGGAAATGGGCGTCGGCGCCGAAAAATCCGAGTTTTTAATTTTCCGATGTGTGTGTCTATTTATTATTAAATTAGTTCTTTGGACATATATTTGAGTTCCGTTTCCGGCCTTATAATTTGGAAGACATCTTGGCCTACATTTCCATCCAACTATTTTGCTTTTTTCAATCGAACTTCATTTTGAAAATCTTTGGTATATATAAGGCATCTTCGAATACAAAATTTTTTGTGAAATAAAAGGAACATGTCTTTCATATTAAATCGTGTAAGGCATCAGATATTGATATATATCTGTGCCAATTCTCATTGATGTAGGTCGTGTCCCACGTTCGCTACGCTTCTCCCAGTGACCCATATCACCATAAGGGGGCTCCGCCTTATTTCGACATGGCGTGGGCCACGCCCCCTTTTTAATGGCGGAAGTTGCCGATACTTAGGAAATATTTAATTATTACCACTATATACATCAAAATATTTTATATTTTGTGTTTCAGAATGCATTTTGAAGACATTTAAACTGGAAATGTTTTAATTTGAGCTTTAAAAACCCTGCAGAGTCCATAATATAAATGATCAGAATTTTCCCTGTGCAACACGTTGTCATTGGCAACCATTCACAGCCACTTGCATAACGGCTACGTCGTAGTACTATCTCAGAGTTTCATTCATAAGAGTTTGCCGTGTGCAAAAGCTATTAAACCATTGGTCAGGGAAAGCTTTTATTAATTATTCATGTGCCAAAGTTGAAAGTTTAAAATAAGTCGACCCTAAACAGTATTTTAGTGATAAGGGAATGCGTTGCCTTATATAAACTATATAGTCATTGCGCATGACGCGATCAGTGGAATGAGGTCACAGAATGTGGAGATGCAGTCCATGTTAAAAAATGACAAACCAAGTCGTACTTTAAAAATTCATAACTTTAAAACTACAACAGCTAAAAATATGATTTTGGTGTTATAATTCTGTTTAAAATTAGCTCTATTCAACTGTGCCATTGGTTTATTTTTAAAAAATGTTTACATTTTTGACCAAAGTATCTATTATTATTGAAGATAAGAGGTTTTACAATACCGCAATGAAACTTTGCACACTGATAAATAATAACATTGTTAAAACAATAATACAGGCTCATTGCATTAAAATGATAGGAAAAGCTGTAAATGACATGTATGCGGGGTCACTTAAAAATTTGGCAAAATTTTGGGGGTAGCGTAAGTAAAAAAAATCATTTTAAAAAATCTATTGAATAGATATAAATAAGTATGTATGTTCAAGTAGAGAATATCAATGGAAAGAAGCATGCAAAGTTTGAAGTCTGTAGATATAATACTTTTCCTTCTGATTCTGATACATTTGACATTCCTCAAAAATGTTAAAAACGCAAAGTGGAGAAAAACAAAAAAAGAAGTTTTAAAATGTTGTTTTAAAAAATTACATGCTTTAAGAACAATATAGAATGCATAATCCATGAACATATACCAATCATGAATGAAAAAACAATATAAAAATTTAGATAGAACAGATAGTAAATAAATTAGCTTATTTTTTCAAACATCATCTCCCCCCACTAATAAAATTTTTATAATAAATAAAAAATTCTGAAATTTTCTCTATGCTACATATGTTAAAAAGACATCTATTATTATGTAAACAATATCAATAGAAATTAGTGTGCAATATTTGAAGTATGTGGCTACAACACTGAGGAATCTGACGTCAGAAAAGAAATGAAAGGTTGAGAAAAATGAAAATGATGATTATTGATCATTTTAAAAAATTACATGCTTTACGAACAATACAGAATGCATAATACATGCACATATGCCAATCATATACTATATAAAAAATTTAAAAAAATTTCAGCAAAGACTAAGTGTTTGCCATTAATTATTGCTAGAGTTCAAGAAAATATAAAAGGTTTAAAAAGGGACTAAAATATAAAAACTTGGCAGAGACTTTTTGAGAGAGCTGCCACTCCTTGGTCATAGGCTTTCTATTAATTTCAATTTTTAATAAACAATGGCATACAGTTAACACAGGGAGGAAATTTAGTCATCATACCCATGACATCTGGCCACTGTTTTGACTTTGAAAATTTAATTAACTTATTGGGGAGGGGGAAATTTACTTGCCAATTCTTGTAGATAATTGGATGCTTTGAACAGTGTAGAAATGACAGTTAACCTTTTTTTCACCCCAAACCATAAGCAATGTTTTTTTACATTTTCAAATGCACAAAAAGTTGAACGAGGTGCCATGATTAGTCATTAGCAGAAAAATGATTGATGCAAGTAACTACCTTAAGACTTAGTCCTACTCTTACTCCTCTTAGTCTTCCTCTTAGTTGTTTTAGTCAAAGATTTGGACATGACCTTGCCACCCCCTCTCCCTTTTTTTTTCTCTCAAAAGCCACAGTGCATACTGATGATACTGCATACAAAATACATTTCAAACATAGGCCATACAAAATGTTTAGTATAAATGCCATCACTTCATACAATAGTTGAGTGCTACAGAAGATTCTAAAAGGCGGAAGGTTCTCAAGTTTAGGAATGCTAAAAACTAAACAGTGTAAATTTCAAATAGGCCTATGCTACAGGTTCCATATTTATATACTAAAATATGCTATTTTATATGACATAATGCCTCACTCAAGCTGGTATGGAATTAAATGCTGAAAACAATGCCATGTTCTTATCTTAACTAGAGCTTTTTAATGATGACAAACCATAAGACTTATGGTTTGCCAGACTTAAAAAGCTCTTCTTTCTCTTTATTGAAATATTAGTTTAAGAACGCCCACCTGTAGGCAGTTAGGCTTTATTTTGTTTTCATTTTAGTAGCATATACACAGACATTATACTTTTTGATTTCATTTTCCTTTGTGTTCCTAACCAGTGTGCCTGCTGGATGTATCATTTTTTTTAAAATGCGGTCAGAGTTAGAGAATGTTTAGACCCCACCTCAACCCTCTTGATCTCAATAAGTGACCTCCTATTTAAATTTCTAAACTCTTAACCTTCACCCCCAACTAATCATTATAAGATATTCTATTGGTAAATAATCTTTAAGCTTTTTTATTTTTTAAAATTATTCCATGTGTAAAATATTTTTTAAACAGATGAAAATCCATTTGAATTATGTTTTAAAAGGATTTAGTTGCAACTATTTTGTGATTAAATGCATGCTTTAAAAATCACAAGGCTTAGTAATTAATTTTTTAAAAATATTTTTTCAGCTGTAAAACGATTAATGAAGGAAGCCCAAGAGCTGAGTGAACCAACTGATCAGTATTATGCTCAACCACTTGATGTAATATACTTTCGAGTCCAATTGATATTTTAAATTAAGTTAAGCTTTAAGTTTGTCTTTATTAAATGGGATTACTGGATTGAAATTTTGTGTGTGTGCATAATGACATATCAATTGCAACTTAAATTTCCGGTGGGAACATTGAAGATCATGCAGTTGATTAATCTCAAAAATGTAGAAATTAAATGAAAAGTTATCCTCTGAGTTGTCATAATATACTCATCTCAATGTTGTCGCTAACACTTTAAATCTTGAATTATCTCTGTTAAATAGGGAACATTGAGAAAAAATTTTTACTATGAACTTTATATATTTGTACACTTTATATTTATATAATTTAATATCAATATGTTTGAAATAATCATAGAGCACTTAAATTTCAAAACTTTAAAAGCATACTGATTAAATATGAGGTACTCCCTGTCACTAACAAATTATGTAAACTACTTTGCTCCTTCAACCATTTAGTGGCTTTAAACAATTTTTAAGGAAATAGCCATTGATATTTAAATTTAGTTTTTAAATTTTCTTTATTTTATTTTGGTCCCTTAAATACAACTTTCTGTAATTACCTGGCTCAAATATAATTATTTCTGTTATTTTATGTTCATATACATCAGGACAATTTGTTTGAGTGGCATTTTACCGTACGTGGGCCATCAGATTCAGACTTTCAGAATGGCATCTATCATGGCCGCATAATATTACCAGTGGACTATCCCATGAAGCCCCCAAGCATCATATGGCTAACTGTAAGTAGAGTTTGTAACTGTACTGGTTTTATGTAAGGTGTTATTTTTTAAAGTGTAATTTTATATAAAGAACTTTAAATAGTGTTGGTCACCAGCTTTGTCATCTCTAGGATATGTTAAAATAATTAACTAAATTATAATTACGCCTCCACCCCCAAAAATAATGTTTGAATTGTTAATAAAACGTTAAAAAATTTTTTATAGCTTGAATTATGAAAGTGTAAAGAGCAACTGATACATAATATTAATATACAATAACAGAACAAAAAGATTTGGGACCAGAGAACATTTGTTGATTTATTTCATTATTATGGTCAGTAACTTGTTGATAAAGCAAATAAACATCTTATCAGTTTAGTTAAATCTATTTTACTCCTACAGCCTAATGGTCGGTTTGAAACTAACAAGAAAATTTGTTTAAGCATCTCTGGACATCATCCCGAGTCTTGGCAACCTTCCTGGTCTAGTAAGATTTAATTTCACTTTTTTTTTTTTTTTAAATCAAGTTTTGTGTCATTTAAGGTCTTTTTCTTTTTCTATCTAAGCTACCCTGTTTTAATTTATTTGATAACTTTTAATTTCAATATGCTATGGTTTTAAAAATTAATCTTTAAAATTCATTACAGTACGAACAGCTTTACTTGCTATCATAGGCTTTATGCCGACACACCCAGGTGGTGCTATAGGATCTCTTGACTACAAGCCAGAAGAAAGAAAAGTTCTTGCTAAGAAGTAGGTTACACCACAGTCATATTTATTTGTCCTGATTAAAGGGGCATGTCCATCACCAAGGGCAGAAATGGAATGTAAGATCCAATCATTTACTCTTTTTTTTTTAAAGCTCAAAACAGGTATTTTCTATGACATTTCCTTGTAAAGTTTCAGACAGTATGATTATAATAATACAAGGACTCAGCAAAGCTTGTTAATTATTTAAGTACCCACTTGAAAATGAAACCCACATTATCAGCTGCAGTTGATGTGGAAGATGTGTTGTAAATATATCTCCTTTGTTAGGAGACACCAGAATGCAAATAATACAGTTTTTAATAAAAGACACCACTGCACTAATATTTAAGAGAATCGTTTTGACTTTTAGGAGCAAAGAGTGGAAATGTCCATCGTGTGGAGATGTAAGCAACATTTTGTTGGAAGTCAGCAATGAGTCAAGTGAAACATCTAAAGAGGCCAAAGAGCTTGCTGCACAAATTAACTTTCAGGTATGCAGTGAATTTCATGTTTTGATCATAACTTTAAAAAAACTATAGTGATAGTTACAAAACACGACTGAGAAATAATAGTGGGGCATTGCTGTCAAGAGACCAGCAAATATTCCTTGTAATAAATTAATAGGATTAAAGGAGACTATTATGTTATATAAGATCTTGAACCATTTTCTTTCAAATGTACATATGTATAGTGTTTTAAACCTACATACAATTTTATAAAAATCACTACATCCTAGGGCTACTGCTTTGAGGTCAAATATTTAAACACTATTGTGTTATTGAAATCTTAGATACTGAAGTAAAAATAAACAGTGATGATGGTGTAAATTAAACTTTATGTAATGTTTTGAAGGATGAACAAAATATTTCTATCATGTTTTGCTATTGGGCACTGCAGACTTAAGAGCAAGTGTTCATGAAAGGCACTTTAAATTAACAGTCTGTATGTAATGGTTATGTTTTCAATATAAATCTAATCAATGTTAACCAATAGTAATTACTTTCATATCTCCAAAGGCAGAGAAGTCAAAGAGTATTGATGGTGAATCTCAAAACGAAAGCACCTCACAAGATGTTAAGGCAGCTCCTGTTTCCTGTGCAGCTGCTGTTGTTTCCTGTGCAGGTGCCACACAGTGCCGAGTGCCCCCAGCTGCAGCTGTTGTAAACACAACCACTCCTGCTGCAGCCGCAGACCAGTCAAGGCCACCTGGACCGAACTTGTGTGGAATGTACCCACCATGGAACTTTGTACCTGGAGTTATGCCTGGCAATCCATCTGGTACCCCAATATCATGCTTGCCTCAGTATTTTCCCCAGTTTCCTTGGACAGCTTCCATTAACCCAAATCCTGAACAACCCAACTGTCAAGCAGCTTCAATGATTCCACGATTTCCCTATCCGCCCAGTCACTATCCTGGTGGTTATTCTGCCCCATTTTACCCAGCTGGCTGCTCTTTACCCGCTGGTGTTGGCATGTTCCCTTGTCCTCCCTATCCTGGTGTGCAGCGATCACCCAGAATTTCACCCAATAATATCCAGTCAACACCATTAGAATCACAGGCCACGAGAACACTTTACACTCGCACGCCAATGACATGTCCTTCTATGGTTCAATCGTCACCATGCAGTGTAGCGCACATTAGACCCATACCAAGCCCTGATCACTGTGAGGTGTTCAAGGAACTCTTGGACAAAGTCAAACGAGTAGGTTCTAATGAACAAACTCAGCCTCGTAGTAATGAGCAGCCTTGTAAGGATCCACCTATGACTTCCTCATGTGAACGCTACAAGGAAAAGCTTGGTGATTCAGTATGTGACCATTATTCAACAGAGAAACCTAAAGATTCCCTTGGTAAGGAAGAACCCGCAGAAACACATCCACTACAAGATGAACAAAGTAAACGTGGCAGTGGGGCGTCATCAGTAGAAGATCAGCAAAGTCAAATTTCCAGCAAAGCCCAATCAACTATTACACAACAAAGCCAACTTACCAGCAAAGCACCATCAGCAGTTACACAGCAGAGTCAGCTTACCAGCAAGGCACCATCACCAGTTACACAGCAGAGTCAGCTTACCAGCAAGGCACCATCACCAGTTGCACAGCAGAGTCAGCTTACCAGCAAGGCACCATCAGTAAATTCCCAGCAGAGTCAACTGAGCAGTAAGGAGAAGATTCAAGAATTACCAAGTCATATTGATAAAGCTCACATTGAGTCTTCTGTGGCTTCTATTCCTGAAGAAGTATCTGATAATGCTAAGCAAAATAAATCTGTCAATGCTGCTGCTCAAAGTTTCATGTCAACTGACAAAGGTCTCATATTGCAACCTATAAGCACAAGCGAGCAGTCTGCCAACACAGCTGCTGTAAGGCGTGGAGTTTCTGTGCATTCTGTGACTAATACTGCGGGCACAATCATGCACACTTCCGTTTCTGAAGGACATTCTGTTGAAGCAAAGAATATATCACTCTCTAAAAGTGAAACTTTGTTACAAAACTCAGAAAATTTTGCTGAAGATGTTCATTCCCCTGTCACTGAGAAAAAAGACTCCAACAGTGAGCTTTCATTGAAAAGAAATGAATCTTTTAATGAACTGTCTGGCACAGAAATGAGCCTGTCAGCTCAGCATTGCGATGGGGATGACAATAGTGAGATGGGAGTTCCTCCTATTGAGGTGTCTGATACCGAACAGAGGTCCTTCTTTGAAAGCACCAGCAGTTCAATGTCAGACATGGAAAAGAAACTGAAGAAAGGACCCAATAAAGGTCTCCGTCAAAGACAATCGGCTCCAGGGCAGGTATCAGCAAATTTCTCTGAAGATGCACAAAACTCTGAAGCATCCGCCCCAGTGCCTGGAAGGCAGAGGATCGAAGCAACATCTGGGGACAATCAGCTGGCACCCAGAACTAATCGTCATGGAATCCGTATAGTCAACTTGGTTAGGGGCCAGAGAGAGGGGGTCAGACAGAGACAGTCACCTTACGATACTTCATTCTTTTTGATGATGGGGATAAGCTTTGCTGCTGCTCTGATACTGTTAAACCGCATCATACAGATGGTGGACTGGGCGAATATCAACACTGACCTTTCCTCTCTATGGGAATAACTAAGATAAACTTATGATTAGTTGGCTCATTTATTACTGAAACTGTTAACATTATTTGAAGAGGGAAATTACATTTTTGCCAGTTGCTTTAAAAGGACAACATTAACATTATTAGAAAATTTTAATGCTTAAATTAGTATTTTCTTGTTAGCTTCATTTTAATACCCTAGTTGACAACTCATATATTGGAGAATCTTTTCTATGTTTGGCATAGAGGTTTAGAGCAGTAATGGTCAAATGTTCCTTTAAAGCTGAAATATTACATTTTTTTAAATACATTTTCTCTTAATATGAATTCCAAATTAATGTAAAATATGTTTTGATTTAATATAAAATATTTATTTACCTCTGGAACTATCTTATAACTTTTAAAAAATCAATTCTTGTTTCACAAGATAAACTTATTTATATTGTAACTACATATATCAAATGGAAGAATACCATAAAATCATTATTACCTTTTCTTGATTAGTGTTGATTGACATACTTTGGAAAAGGTCCTAAGAGACCTTATGGAGGAAAGAGTAAGCGTTAAGTCAATAATTTTATTTTGGGAGAAAGGGTCTCTGCAAGAAAATAGATTCTACTCTGTTTGGAAGTTTTTCTTTTCCATAGGATTTCATGATAGTGAAAATTCCCGAATACATGCTTGATATGTATATAACCTTATCCTACCACTGACTTGTAGAGTTGTGCAGATTACTTATAGGAATACATTTGAATGTGATAAATTAAATAGCTGCAATTTAATTTACATAAAGTATGTGATACTTGTTTCAGTTGTTATAGATATTATTATAATCAGTTGATATAATATAATCAGCCATGTAGCATCACATCATTTACATTGTAACTTAGTCCTTCAGCTTCTATCTTAGATATTAGTATCTTAACCAATTTTTTTTTTTTATATTTTAAACTTTTTCTACAACTTCACTGTTTTAAATATTGATTATTCTTCCTTTTCTCTATATATTCTAATGTGTTTTTGACACTTGAGAAATCTCTGTGTGATAAACTTTTGTAAAAGTTGCTTTTGTGTAGTCATTTTTAATTACAGGAGAAAAAGGTTGCAAAAATAGAATCCTTATGTGCTCTTGACAATTGTTACAGATTCTTGTTTAAACCATGCTGTTTTCATTAAATCTCAACCTTGAAAACATAACAAAATAAAGTGTTTGATTTGATTTATGTCTGTGTGATTTTAAATTGCATCCGGTACAAATATTTTAAACATTTTTTTATTTTAAATTTCTCACTTAGAATATTTGTCTTTTTTTTTTCTCTGGGATTCAAGAGAGTAAACCACATGACTTCACTGATTATGATCTTCAATTCCTTTTTTTTTTTCAAGATTATTTTAATGATCAGCGCCATCTTCTGACACTTGTTTTATTTTTTTTTAAACTGGAACTATTACCATGACTAAATCTGGCATCCCCAAGCAAAAATCTATCCAGATGAATTTAATCATTAGTTTCTTGTATTTACAAATGTTTTTTTAAAGTTTTAAACACAAACAAATGAAACATTTGTAACCAAAGAGTTTTACATTTTTTAATACTCTAGATCAGTGGTTCCCAAACTTTTAAGTTTGGCGGACCGGTGAACAAGTTTCGAAATTTTACCAGGGACCGATGCATGATTTATTTTTATACTTTTATTTCTATTTGACAATAAATATGTATGTTATTGGGGACCGACAGCGTTATGCATGCGGACCGGTGAAGGTCCACGGACCGCCATTTGGGGACCACTGCTCTAGATAACCAATATTTTGGAATGCAGTGGACCAGTTATTCTTTAAAAATTACAATACTTGCATAACTATATGACATAAACAAATAATCTTGAAAAGGGAAAACAAAACTTTATAAAATTTTAGTCTTAGTATTTTTTCTTCATTAAAAATATTAAAATGTACTTTTTTGTAGAGACAAAAAATTATTACAGTATATTTTTCTCTCTCAATAGTTTCATTAGATTAAGAATCATAGAGCCCATACATAAATCATTGCAATTTATTTTTGCTCATTCATATTGCATTTCCAAATTCAGGTGAATTTTTTTTTTATAAAATGCCAAATATTTAATCCATTTTCAAAAAATTTCAATTTCATAAGGGCCTATGAAAACGTTTTAGATTAAAATAAAGAACAACTTCAGCTAAATTAAAATAAATAATACATAATTTATTCCCTTTGCCTTTTTATTTTTTCATGTGCAATCTACTTTTAAGCTTTATGGCAGTCCAATTATTCACAATGCTGTAGTAGTTACAATTTATTTCTAACAGTGTATATTTTATATTGAATAGATTCGAAGAATATATACTTTAACACAACTTAAAATTAAAATAAGGACCTAAAGCTAAAATCAGAAACTTTCATTCCATCATACCTTTCCAATGAGGAGATGCTAAGGGTAAAAAGAAATATTGCTTGAACTTGTGTATTCAATTAAATTTAATAGTAAATAATTAGTACATTCTGCATTGAAATGATTAAAATAGTTATACTTCTACCGCATTTTTTCAGCTGCAATTCAGATTTTAAAAATATTACTGACAAACATAGCAATCAATTTCTTTTATGCCCAACTAATATATGGTCATAACTAAGGCACTGAGTGAGCTCTTCTATTTTTCTACAGCAAATAGTACCATATATACTCATTCTAAAGTTGGCTTTTTGTAAATATTTTAGGGAATAAATGGGATGTTGGATTATGAGTGGGTCATATATCTTATTCTAGATATTCTTTGGTGCTATATTGCTTACAATGGCTTAATGTTCTATATGTTGAGCTTATGAACTTTAGAATGAGTATCTAGGGTACATACTAATTAAAAATAAATGAAGTTTCATATTCAAGTAAAAGGGTAACAACACTAAAATTGTCCTTTTTTGATATAACTTGTAGATCATTCATAAATAATAATCATTTATTACAAGTTATTAAAAGAAAAATTCAACTTATTATAGACCTTATTATTATATTATCATAAATGTCTTGCTGAATTAGGCCACGTAAGTGTAAGGATGAAGAGAAATAAATTAGCAGTGAAGAAGAGGGTTGCTGCTAAAATACAATAATTTAATGAGATACTGTCTATAATTTTAATTAATGAAAATTCTCACATGTAATAAATTTTTAGAGATAATTCACCTCATGGTGAGTGAAATCCGATATATACAGCATATTTATTTATTTCCCATTAAATTATATATTGTTCTTAACAATCACAGAATAAAAACAAGAATGAATCCCCATTCACCAACTGTAACCAAACACATTTAGCAATTATAAATTAATTCATGCAAAATGAACTAGCAAGTTAACAGAGACTGGGGTTTAGTCATCAAAATTGGCCTCGTTGGAAGTAGACTTTTGACATATGCTGCACGTCTTTCATATACTAGATTTAAGAATGACTCAATCCGTTTTTCCCTTTCACTTGCATACTGCTGAACACGGACTTGTATACTTTTATGTTCTGGTGCTTCAACTGACACCAGTGTCGAAGACAAATTCACACTGCTGCTTGTGCCTGCAGTTGTGCTCAGTGTAGACTCCTCCATCATGTTGCGGTAGTCTGACTCTCTTTGTAGTCGTTCCCTTTCAATAGTGTGGTTTTGTTGGGCAATCTAATGCGTAGAGACAATTATAGAAATTTTCTTTAAAAACTTAAGTTCACGTACATTTTTTTTTGGTAAAATTTTTTTTAAACTTTCAAACTGAATATTTATCAGTCAAATATAGTTTTTATATAACTTTGCAGGTCTCTTACTACATTGTTACCTGTATTTTACTTTTGTTACGTTGGTAGTGAAGAATAGCTGCATACATATGCCAAATACTAAACTCTGGCCAAAGAACCTTCACAAATGCTAAACATGAAAAAGAACTCTGAAAATGTTGAAAAATGAAATCATAACATGTAGGTATATAAAAACAGAGAGACCTCTCATTTCCTTGTCTTTACAAACATGCTAAATCTTAAAGCTTCTTAAAATGTTTGAATGGGTTTAAGTATCTTATATTGTTTAAATGGGATTAAGTAGAAAAAGAAAATGAATACTATGTTTAAGCAAAGCAGGTGGATAATTAATAGAAACTATGCAAAATTTATTAAGAAAAGTTTGATAAGATATGTTTTAAAATGTACACATTCAATCAGGTATTTAGGCATTACCTCCCATAATAAGAAATCACTAAGTCGCAGCTCTCCTGATGTGCGTATCAACAAATCAACATTTCTAGATTGTGACGTGTAAAGACACTTCTCCAATAAGCTTTCTGATATATCACTGTAAAATGTGTCATGAAAATGTTGAGAATACTTGAATTGAAATAATTTAATAGCATAATAAATATATTTTATTTTTACAACAATAAACTTAAATACCATACAAAAATAAGTATATAGTAATAAGCACTGCTCATAATATAATTTAAAAACTAGGTTACCTCTGCTTAATATGGCCCTCTTTCACACCTGAAGTCAGCTCTCTCATTGCCATACACATATCATCTCTTGCTGTATAAGCAAAGCAAACATTCAGAAATGCTCTGTAATAGAAAAATGATATTATTTGAAGACCAATATGTTAAATATCCCACTTTATATTTTCTAACTTTAGTTATTGTTTATTTATTTGTGTACTCATGGTAGGAATTAATCAATGAAATGCTTAGTACTGGTTTCAGCCAGACTTAACTTTTTAGCTATTTTGTTATAATATATTCTATTTAACTGACTTCTTAATGCAGTTTTGTAAGTACTAAAACTCAGAGGAACATGTTTTAATATGCTATCCACTCTCTTGAGCCGCACATTGTATCTTTAACAATTTTCTAAAATTATAATTATTTTATATTTTTTATTATTTGTATAATGATACCTTAAAAACTTACTTTTAAAAAAAATTGCTTTCAAACTTTAGCACTAGTGATATCTATTTAAAAATCTACTTAGGCTAAACCCCATACAAATCAAAATATGTTTTACAGAACTATTTATAAAATAAGTATGGCTTCTAGTTAAAAAAAATTTTTTTTACAACACATTATTATTTTTCATTATTTTCATTTTTTAGCTCCAAAAGTGTAAGATATCAGATCTGTAGTAATAGACAAACTAGGAGGCAAATTAAAACCTTTTATTTTCTGCAGATATAGTAACAGCCTCGGCCAGTAGCTCCTGCAAATCTCTGGGTAGCAGTGAGATGTCCCCAATAATACGTACACATACTCCATGTCTATGAATAAGATCTCTATAAAAAAATAAATCTAACATTACAGCATATTCAAAAACATTCAAGAATTTTAATTGTTTTATTGTGTGAAAAAATACATTATAAACAGACTATTGTACCATTTTAAAAGTTGTAATGAAAAATTGTAGGGCTGTTGATAAAATAAACTACCATATTTGCTATAGTGCCTATTGTTATTAGATCTGAATATTTACCTCTCTTGTAGCAATTTTGCAAACTTTTGTCGTGAAAGCTCCATGAGGCAGGTGACTTCATCAGATGATCGTTTAAAGTTCTCAATGCTAAATGCATAGACAGTGACTTCTGTTATTCCAAGATCCAAACACCACTCTAGAGTCTAAAATTAATAAAATATATTTGGATAAAATCAGGTCACCTTTGAAGTATATTCATTTAAAAAATTATTTTAAAACATTCCACATCAGTCTTTTCTTTAAGTGCTAATATAATTAGACTAAAATCTATCTTCCAAATGATGTAAGTTTAATATTTTCTTAACATTTATTACTATAATGCTGGATCAACGCAAACATGATGCACATTTTAAATACAGGTAGGTGCACAATCTATAATATTAATTCCAGATTCTGCTCCATATATCCACCAATGCTTAGTTGTATTTTTCGTTTGTGTGCATTTAGTGCATAAGATGGGGGAAGGCAGCGAATGAGAGAGCGGACAACATCTACTCTGGAATTATATTATAAAATATTTAATCTTAATATATAGTTTTACAACTATCTTTCCTGTCTGTTAGCTTTTAAGAACAAATTATAACTTACAATGATTTATAAATACCACCCCTCTCAATGATCAGCTCACTAACCATCAATTGTTTTTTCCTAAATACATATTCAACTTTTACCACACATTTACACACATACATTCACTTACCAAAATGTAATTGCTGGTATTGCTTGGTTAAAAAGTGATAACATGCAAATGGAAACACATCCTAAATTTCAAATTATTTCCTTTATGGTCACTGACTGATTTCACAGTGAACATAATTTTGTAATTAAGTATGAATAAAATATCTCTGCTCAATTATAAAATTCAAATAATCGCAAGTGAAATATAATTTAAATGCATGGTAGAACAAAAACAAAAAAATTATTTTATATTTAAAGCGAGAATAACACACCCATATTTTCTTTTTTGTCATATACAAAACAACTTAACTGATCTTGAATCTTAATAAACAAAAGCGTTAATATCTGAAATTTCATCAAGTGAGCTATTGTATTTATGAATCAATTCATTGATAAATGAATGTCAAACATTTAATAAATTAGAGATTTTTAAAAATTGTTTGGCATTATGGCAAGGCCTTATTCCTATTAAAAATAAGTTCCAAAAATAAAGTTTTGTAGCAAATATATCTGATTTGAAAAAAATTATTATAATAATTTTAAACCAACCTCAGCTAATTTGTCAAACCCCTTTACATGTCCCTCTGATTTAGCTATGCTTTTTTTTACAGCAAAGCGTCTATTTCCATCCATGATGATTGCCACATGCCTGGGAATAGGACCAGCTGCAAGTATGGTCTCACAGGCTCGCTGAAACCATGTTCTTTGTTTTCTTTGGGGAAACCACGACATTTATAGTACAGAATATAAACTGAAAAGCATACAAGTACAAGAAAAAGTTAGAGATTTATAATTTATAAATTTATTAATTCTTGAAATCCAAGCATAAATGCACAGCGATGAGTATCCATTTATACAGGGTAGATCCTTTCAGATCAAAGATGATAAAATAATTTTACCATTAATCTAAATCCTATTTTCTATTTGTAGGCCTAAATGTTAAATGGTTAAAATCACTGTTCACACAAAATAAAAGCCAGGCCTTGTGTGCTGGTACTGGCATAATTTCAACAACCTTATTTAGTATTATAAGAATAATTTTTGTAATCATAGTATTAGTATGTTTGTATAAATTGTATATAAGCCTCCTTCCGAACTTACTGATTTTTTTAAAAATGTGTCCCCCCCCCCTCTAGACATTGGGTAGGCTGAGTCTATGGATGGATGTCTGTGACTTATGCCACAAGATGACAATAAATATGAATTATTATTGATACTGATACTGATAGTAGTAGTCAGGCATTCATTAGGCTATTACTCTTTGCTATATAGTATAGGCATTATAGTTATATATTATTAGTATAAGTATAATTATTATACTATACTATTATTAAATAGCCATAGACTATAGACTAGACTATAGAGTCATAGTTATAAGTTAGAGGCATACCCAGTAGATACTAAGTCAAAGTCTGTCAAAGTTGAGGTGAGGTCACACACTACTACACTAGTACTAGTTACTACACACTAAAACACTAACTAACACTAACACACTGTGTTACACAGTCACAGTAACTAGTAACAGATGTCAGATATATAAGAATAAGATGAAGGATGGAATCAATGTAGAAGAACGCCTCTAATACGCAAAACTACATTACATCTACATACTTTACATAGTATTGTAATAGTATGGTCACAGTTATAAGCAATTTCAGTATAGAATAAGTATAGGCTACTACTGCTACGTGTTAAAATCTAAATTATTGTCGGCGGTCATCTAAATCTAGGTCTTAGAATTTAGAATAGATTTAATATTTAATTCATTTTAGTTTTAGTCCATTACTTATTTGAATAGTTTGATGAGAATACAATTTCTAAAGAAATTAAAATAGTTGAAATAGTTTTTTCTACATAATATTATGCTTTATCTATTTTATTTATGCTTAGGACACTTAGGTGATCCTTTCACTTTCAGGTGAATATGATGAAATAATTTTACCGACAATCTAAATCCTAATTTCTATTTGTAAATGTCGAATGGTTAAAATCACTATGCCAAAAAAAAAAAAAAAAAAGCCAGGCCTTGTGCCCCGGTACTGCCATATTTTCAATTGCAAAAATTAAATAATTTTACCAAAAATCTAAATCCTAATTTCTATTTGTAAATGTCGAATGGTTAAAATCACTATGCCAAAAAAAAAAAAAAAAAGCCAGGCCTTGTGCCCCGGTACTGCCATATTTTCAATTGCAAAAATGTTATTTAGTATTAAAGTAAAGGCTAGTTTTTGTAACAGTCAGTTATAAAAGTTTTTATAATTCCCATTCAAAACACACTGATTTGAAAAATTGTGAAATTGGAAATATTTTATAGAATGAATTATCATTTAATAACATTGTATTTTATACTATGACTATAGATATATGATATAGCGTTTAATTATTTATGAATATTAAAAATATATATTGTCTGTTATTTTTTCCTTTGTATAATCATTTATATTATCATTAATAAAGCAGATTAGTCTTTTCCCATAGCTAATTTTCTGTGTATTAATTAATATATAAATTATTAATTATGGCTATATTTTATATATTGATTCACTTTACATATTATGTACGTGAAGTCAATGTGTTCACGATATTGCTGTTACATGCACTTTATTATAATTAAAGCAATATTTAAACGTAAATTACGTGAACCGTATAATAATAAAACAATAAGTAGGCAAGCAGGACGTAACGCTTTTACGTTAAACCAATAATAAAACATAATTCATATTTATAACTGCTTCTTTAATACATACCTATTTTTTATTGATGTGTATTTTGCATTATGTATGCAATTAAAATTTAATACAGTTTTAATACATATGTTTTAAAGCAACGATCATTTTGCTTCCGTAGGTCTGATAACTAGAATTAACTATAAATACTTGACAACCTGGCAGTAACAATGTAAAAGAAAAAATATTTCCTAGTGTAGTCACTGTGTGGCTTTATTTTACATAGCATGTGTAACATACACCGAAAAATAGTTCCTTGTTAAAATAAAATTTAAACCGAATTTCTGTGTTTTAATTTTAAAATAATAATATTTGGGGAATAAAATCAAAATGTTTAATTTTGTACATGTTCTTTAAAATACTTACATTATAAGCTGTTAAAACATGAAGTTAAGAGATATCATTCCGCTTTCCATAGACGTATAGTTGATAGTCGATGATTGAAAAACATAATAAAATGGCGTCAAACTCATTCAAGAGGGTTGGAGTTGGCATTGTGTGATTTGTGCATTAATGAGTGATATTTGTAAAGAATTGTGAAAGGGATGGATAACAAAATAACTTCTACATCTGTACTTGAACCCGGTAAGAATAATTTCATAGCCCGAGCTTCGCTATTCTTGTTGATTTGAACCCGTCTTGTGCTTACACCATCTTGTTTCTTTTTCAGAACTGTACTTTCTCATTGCTCGATTTCTAACCAATGGACCATGTAAAAGAGCTGCTAAGGTAAGTTGATTTCTTTAGACTAGCTACATATTTAATTAATGCATTTATCTAACAGTATCCAATTTATATTTTCAGGCTCTCTTGGAAGAATTGGAGGAGTTTAAGGTGAGTAGTCAAGCATTTTTTAAATGGTGCAGACTGTAAACATTTTCACAAAAATCTATTATTTTTCTTTTCAAATAAACATTGTACCAATCATTATTACATATGTAAATTAAATATTTACAGAATTGACTTTGTTATAGTGTACATCATGCTCTTGTTATTATCATTAAATAAAAATTTTCTTTCAGCTTTTGCCTCAGAGAGTTGACTGGGAGGGTAATGCACATTTTAGGAGTTATGAAAACTTGGTAGGTGATGAAAATTGTCAATACTGATTTAAAATGGGAGCAACTTTAAAATAATTTATAATTATAAGCAAATTAATTACTATTACTACATTTATTTGATATATGTACATGGGACAAAGATCTATAATTTCTCTGGCTTGTTTTATTGAATTAATATATTTGAAATATACAATATTCAATATAAACTGTAAATAATTTTGTCTGAAATTGTACAAAATAGCATATGAGTATGAGCAGTGACATCATGATTTAGAGCTTCCAGGAGATCCAATGGAATTCATTTTTACTTATTTACACATACCAATTATGTTAGAAGTATTTTGATTGGTTAAAAGATTCCTAACTGGGAGAAAAAGAAGGCCAGATTATTTTATGTAGGTCAGGTCAGGCTTAGAAGCTTCTAAAATTATATCAGTGGTAAATAAAGTATTATGAATTCTTAAATGCCCATTTTGAAAAAATGACAGTATTACTTCCAAGATTTTAAACACAATCAAGCTAATTGTACAAAATGTCTAGAAATGACATATAATAATATTTATATAACTTTATATTATTTACTGTTTCTTATTCTTTAAAATAGTATTGAGTAACTTTATACCTACTTAAAGTTAAAGTCCTATTTAGATATGATCAGTTTTAAAAAAATATTGCTGAAATATTTTAAGATTCATTGATTTTTAAATTTGTTTTGTAATAATGATTATTTTAAACAAAATTGTACTTTCTTGTATCTTACCTTTATACCTATTCTATAGCTTCTTACGCTTTTCTTTCTTCTCTCTCTTATTACTCCAGGTGTATTTAAACAGACATATAAGAAGTGATCATTTACTTCAAATAGTTGAACGAGTTGGAACTCTCCTTGATAAAGAAATAAAACCTAGTGTTCCTGGTGTTAAATCTCTTCTTGGAGCAGGAAGCCTTTCATTACTAAGGACAGCAGAAGGTAATTTGTTCAACATATGTAATTGTACAGATATACAATTATAAATAATAGATACGTTTTTGGATCTAGGCTAGGTTTATGAAGTTGCACACTGATGTGTTTTTAACAAAAAATATCATTTTCCTTAATGCATTTAGTATCATCCAATATAGATAACTTCAGTAAGAAACTTACATATTAGTCTCAAGTTTCCCTTCTGTGAAATAGGACTACATTCAAAATTTTCTTAATAGTGAGCTTGGCCTTTTTTCCAAAGAAACTAATGGAGTAGTATTAATTTCAGCCTTAATCGTATCCATAAGTATAAGTTAAGAACAATTTCTATGCTTTATAAAATGTATTATTATTTAGGTGTTCGTCAAACAAAATGGAGTCCCTCACATCATATAGTCCGACAACACGGGCTCCCATTATTTCCACCTGCCAATCTAGCAATACCAGCAGTCCGTAAGTTGATTTCTTAATTTTTTTTTTGTGGTTTTGGAGAATAATGGTTTGCTTTTTTTTTTTAGCTATTCTTACAATGCTATGTAAAATCATATTTCATAAGGATTATAAGGTTATTTACTAAGATTTGTGTGCATAAAAACTCTTTTTACCAATTTTTCTTTCAACTTTATATTTATGTTGGTCATGCTTATATTTTTGGTTTAGTTATCACATTCAAATGCTTTGATGTCTGTGGTTTTACAAAGCTAATATTGGTTACACTGTTAGATCTAAAGTTTTTTTTGTTTTTTTTTATCTTTAAACATTCGAAGCATTACCAATTATGTTAATATGTGTAGTTAAATTTTTAACTGAAAGTGTAAAAACGTGTGCAAACTTCTGTTTAAAAGTTTGTCATTTTTCAATAAATATAAAATCTTTTGGGATATTAACTTTTATTTTTCAGCACATGTTCTCAAAGCTTACGAGATGTCTGGAGTTGTTCGACATCACAGTGTTGTTCCCACAAGTGTCTTCAACAAAATTGTGATGCATGGCAGGAAGCTTGGTCACCTCTCTGCTGTATACTGTGTGCTCTTTGACAGAACAGGGAATTATATTTTTACGGTATTTACTTTTTTGTTTATTGTTATTCCATGTTCTTTTTGTACATTTTCAATAGACATTTTTCAAGGTAAATTACTTTGATAGTCTTCTAACAATTTGTGAAAAGTGTTGGACTGCGATAAAGCTTTAAAATAGATTAATAAGACACAAACAAATTGTCTCAATAGAACAATATAAGTTACGCTTTAATAATAACTATACATTATACACAATTAAACGTTTCGGCACATGCCTTCATCAGTACAAACAAACAAAACACATTTAAGTAAGTATAAATTAAATTTACATGATATCATACATATCCTACCTAAAACAGAAAAAATATAGGAGAGGGCGCTAAAACCAGACAAAAACAAAGTAAAGAGGAGTAGAAAGGAAGTGATTTTAACATAATTGTAAAAACCAAACAGGAAAAAGACATGGCAGCTAAGTAAAATTGTGGATTTGGTTCATTCCATATGGAGGCAACGTACCAAATCTAGTTATTAATTTGTTCTCCAAATAGATTCTATCTGCAGTGTTACTAGTATAGAGTATACCAGTAACTGCAATGTCTGAGATACCATCATGGTTAGGGCTATTAAAATGTTTGGAGACCGGGCAGAGAGCGTGTTTATTTATGTTATAGAGGTGCTCTCTGATACGGTCCCCAAGGCGACGACCTGTCTCTTCTATGTATAGTTTACCGCACTTTTTGCAAATGATGGTGTAAATCACGTTGCGACGTGTGCAGGTAAAGCCATCTTTTATTCTGAATACTTCCAGAGGGAAAGTGATCTTATCAGTTTCGATCACGTAGGGACATGAGTTACAACGGCTACGGTTGCAACTTTTTGTGCCTTTATGTGCTTTAATAGCAGGGAGGTGGCTTCTAACTAGCATGTCCCTAAGGCTCTTGTCCCGCCGAAAAGCGAAAAGATGAGGTTTTCTAAAAATCTCATTTGTGACAGGGTCCGCCATCAGAATTGAGCGGTTTTTCAGAACCAGAGAGAGAGCTTTTAGGTTGTGGGGATGAAAAGTTAAGATAAATTTAGACCTATCACTAGTGTCAGAATGAGTAGCTTTAAAAGAAGCCTTCTAGTCATACCTTTAACTCGAGTGACAGCTGCTTTTAAAATTTCTTCGGGGTATAACCTGCGTCGGAAAAAATCCAACATTTCAGACATTCTTTCTCCAAAATCATCCTCATTACTACATAGTCTTCTGAGTCTCAGCAACTGAGAAAATGGGATGGAGTTTTTACACCATTGAGGATGGGATGATGAATATAGCAAAAAGCTATGGCTGTCTGTGTGTTAATAAAAAATGGACATAGATATTTTGTTCTCATGAAGGTTAATTTGTAAGTCCAAAAAATTGATGGTGCTTTTATGGATCATTGAAGTGAATTTAATTGTTGGATGAAAATCTCCAATGAAGTAAATAAAACTTTCTAGTTGTGTTATGTCCATATTAGTAATCCCTATACAGTCATCTATGTATCTTCTGTAGTATAATGGGAAAGGACCTTGGTAGTGTTCTCTCCAAAAATGTTCCAAATGGCCCATAAATAAGCATGCAATAACTTGGTCCTATTTATGTAGTTACTCATTCTAAATTAAGAAACATGCAAATGAAAAGAATTAAAGGATATTCAAAGATAATTTAATTATTATTAACACTTATCATACAATATACAGCATTTTGGATTATTATTAACATATTATTAACAATTTGTGATATTATGAACAATACAAAGTTAAATTATTTTAAATATTTTGAAACTATGTAGTGGCTGTTTCTAGAAGAGCTTAATTTGTAAAAAATGAGACAACCTCTCTCCACCTTTTTGTTGTCTACTGTGCTCTGTTCTTTGTTATATTTTCATTTCTTCTGAATGAAAAGAATTAAAGGATATTCAAAGATAATTTAATTATTAACACTTATCATACAGTATACAGCATTTTGGGAGAATGTCTCAACTTCAAGTTTAAAGACGTCATACATTTAAAACAAAGTTGTTAAAATAACTGAGTCATTAACTTTTATCTCCTAGGGTGCTGATGATGCTCTTGTAAAAATCTGGAGTGTTTATGACATGCGGCTTCTGGCAACTTTGCGAGGCCACTCGGCAGAAATAACAGACATGGCTGTATCATTTGAGAATACATATCTTGCTAGTGGTAGTTGTGATAAAGTTGTCAGAATCTGGTGTTTACGATCTAAAGCACCAGCTGCTGTTTTACAAGCTCATTCCAGTATGATAACATCTGTACAGGTATTCTTTGTTTCATTTATGTGTGTTGCTTTGTAGGCTATAAGAATTTTTAAGAATTTAAACAATCTGTTTTCTTTATTTTTGTTAAACATTATGTGAATACTCAATCTAAAAGCTAATGAATAAAAGTGTGACTATTTTATATTTTTAAAATGAATAAAGTTGAATTCCCTTAATGTTTTTTAAAAAAATAATTTATGTTAAAATCAAAATCATCTTTGTGTGTATCCACATTGATAATGGGGATACTTATTAATGGCCACCAAGAAATATCAATTTCTGAAGTCATTTAATAATTCTGTTGAACTCATTCAAAATATGGATGCTATTTTTAACAAGTCTAAGCAATTGTTAAAAGATAGCAGCTTATGTCGGATGGGATGGTTACCGGAAATTTGTTGGAAAGAAATTTTGTTGGTGGAAAATTGATAGACAGAAATTTGATAGAACGGAAATTTGGTCGAATTCTTTTCTCAGTTCACACGAACTGATTTTGTGTCAAATTTCTTTTTGAATACACTATACTATATAGTAAACAAAATTATCTTTGCTTTTGTTTCTGGGTGGCTTGCTGGCTGACTGACTGACTGGTTTTGTGGCAAAATCTTCAGACACATAATTTGCCCCCTTTCCTTTAAGCTATCGAGCTGAAACTTGACACATAGACTGGTTGCTGATTACAACTCATACTATCAAATATTTCCGCCTTAACCCCCAAAAATCAGTTTTTCAAGGGGATGATAAAATGAAATTCCCGCACACGGGGGGGGGGGGCACTCAACACAACTAATTTTGAGATTCTTATAAAGTGTGTTACTTGAATGCATGTTTTGGTCAAATTTTCAGCCCCACTCCCAATTGCTTGATATTACATTTTATAAAGGATTTATAATTTTTAAAAACGTGGTTTTTAGGTGTTGTTTATTTAGCTCTACTGTTGTTGGATTTGACCTCAATGCTGTAGTTGCTTGATTGCGCATGCTCTTTCCAAAAAATTCCTTCCCAAATGCCTTGGAATTTTTTTCTGTTCAGTTTACATCAACATGTTTAGGGGTAAGTAAAGTTTAAAATTATTTTATTAAATTCAATAATTATTTTCATGTAGTTTTTCTGGCTCTTAAATTGTTAGAAAGCCATTTTCAATGGAAGAAATCTTTATCAACTATATGTCCGATGACTAAAAATAAAAGGGTCTGTCTATTGACTTTACTTTTAACTAAGTTTACCCTGCTTTTTCCGGCTTTACTGTAAGCCTAAAGATTATAAAAATAATAATTCGAATAATAGTAATAATAGAAGCTAACGGTATGAGTCTTAACTCTACCCTCTGTTCTATTATTATGATCAAAGTAGAGGACTTTGATTTTCAAATTTAACATACGATACTCTACCGCAGTACTTTGTTAACTTAGTAGTAGACCCTTTTTTAAAATCTACAATATTAGATATAGCCTTTAAACAAAAATTAAAGAATTTTATTAAATTATTTTTTTCATATAGTTCACTAAAATAACAGTGCAACATTAACACTGAATGCCACCATTTCAATATTCATTGTTCAAAATGTTCTTAATGATACCCCTTCTTCCACACTTTGTTTGCTCAGTCCTACGCTACTACATAGGCTTATTTTATTATCTCTAACATATTAATACTGGTATAAATAGAATAATAGCCTATATGACCCTCTATGAGCCTAACAGTAATAGGATAATATATTCATTCATTTTTTTTGGTTTCTATATTCAGGGTCTAGAGTTTTAATAAAATAATGCCCAACAGCAACTTTAATACGGATGAATGTTAGAAGAGCAACCAACCTTTAAATACTGATGATGGTTAGGAGAGCAATCAAGGTTGAACAAGTCATTACGCTACACTCTACTAGATTTATAAATATCAAGCTTATTTGCGAGACAGTCCTCATGTGCCATCTGGAGGTGAAAATGTTTAAGAAAAGGCAATCATCTTTATCACCCACTCCAGGATTCCACCTATGGAACTTCTCAGTCAAGCTCTCAATTTGTGTTCAAATATGAAACCCTAATTACATAGATTTTATAGACACCAAAGTGTGTTTACTCTAACTGTTAATTTTCCTCGCAAGAAAAAGACATTGACTCCATATTTGAAAAGATTTTTTCTACTTGTGGTGTCTAAATACATGTTCTAGAATCTCACAGATACTAGATTCACTGCTAAACTTTTTCATGACTTGACTTTGAAAATCAATGCAACAAAATCATAAAATCAGTTTTATAGTAAACTGATAAAAAATGTGAGCTATTGTTATGAAATTTAATAAATATATTCGTGTATACAGCTTTATTGGTTAGTTTTTTTTTCGTGTGTTTTTTGTTTTAATATTGTATTTCATTTTACGAAATTATACTTGTTTTCATATTACTAAAACACAACAAAAAAAACTTCTTGCGTTGCTACAGTCATTAATTTTAGCTTAGATATGCCTGTAAGTCAAGCAAGTCGGTGCAGTCAACTTTATTCTGATCCTTAAAAAATAATTGGGAGCACTATATCTTGTCGAATTTATTTGTGTTAACTTACATAAGCAGCTATGTGGATTTCCTGGCACAACTTGACCAGCTAATTGACAAAACTACTCTTTTGGAGCTTGAAACTACGGTTTTGAGACTGAAAACTACCCTGACACTAACCCAGTGGTAAACAGGTCTGGGATACTACCCGTGAGGGTTGAATTTTTTACAGACTTTATGAATGGCAATCACTTTTAATTGTACTCATTTGAGTGCTGGTACATTTTGCAATACTATAAAGCTTAATACCAAGATCTAAGAAAAGCTACCTAAAGCTTTGGAACATGTTTGTTTTACACAGCCCATAGTTGGCTATATCTTTTTTTTTTTTTTTCAAACGAGGAAACATACATATTTCCTCTTAGTGCATGAAAAGAGAGTTTAATTTTAAGAATATGAAGCATTGAGCATTTGTTCCAAATAAGATATAATCATGAATATTTTGTCATTTCAGTTTTGTCCAAAAGCTCAGGGAGACAATCGATATCTCGTGTCCACTGGTAATGATGGTTGTGTTTGCTTTTGGCATTATAACATTCACACTAATATTTTCAGGTAAGTAGAACAGCCACAAAATTTAATATTTAATGATTTAGGGTAGCTACTGTGTTATTAATAAATGTCTTGTAGTTACTTTGTCTGCTTGTATATTGTAGCTAACGATTGCTAAATCTCCTATGTTTCTAGTATGAAACCTACCAAGTTTATTGAGAAGTCACGTGCTGGTGCGCAGATGTTGTGTTCATCATTTTCCCCTGGAGGAGCTTTCCTTGCCACAGGGAATTCTGATCACGTTGTTCGCGTCTACTTCCTGCATGCCATTGGCATTGAAAAAATCTGTGAACTTGAAGCTCATGCTGTGAGTTTGACCTTTTATTATTTCTTTCTTTATGTGACAAAAATAAAGGTAAGATCAATGACTGTACTTATGCTGCAGCTCACTCAAGATGATGCCAAGTGTGCTAAGCAAAACGCCTCCAATAGAAGGGAAATCTCAGATTATGTGTAGATATGTAAATATGATAATTTTTGCTCCAAAATTGACAATTGTGAGCCTATTGTGTCCTATACCGATAGTTAATATAGAATTCTACAGTGTAATAATAAACCTTTTAACACTACGTGCCAACTTGAATGTTAATTACATTATCTTATTTAATATACATTATGCATGTTCTTATTTGAGGGGTGCCTCGGAATTCTTGGAAAGGCTCATGTGCATGAAATAAAGGTTTCTGAGCTCTGCTTCAATAATGATTTTTATTGTAGTTTGTAATAATCATCAATGACATTCACCAATAAATGGGATCTATCACTACTCTAATCTAAGATAGTGTTTGATGTAGCACCTAAGTTTTACATTAAATTTTTTATTGCCCCCCAAAGGATAAGGTAGACAGCATCTGCTACAGTAACAACTTGAATAGGTTTGTCAGTGGCAGCAACGATGGGACAGCAAGAATCTGGCGCTTTGAGAAACAGGAATGGAGAGCTACTGTGCTTAACATGAATGCAAAATTAAACAGGTACCAACATTATCTTAAATGATTCTTTGAATATTAAACCCTGTGGATGATAACTTGGTTGTAATCAAGAGTAGGCTATTATTTCCTTGATTACTTTTGATATCTGTTTCAATGCAGCTGCCTGTTTTTTTAGACCCACAATTTTTTTCTTAAGTATGTTTTTTAAAAAAATGGTTGTCATAGACTGTTTGTCTTTAAATAACTTTGAAATTTGACAAATTTAACTGAAATTTAAAAAAAAAGATGTTACTTATTTAAAAGATATTCTACTTTTATTTTGGAGCTGCTGTCTTAATATGTTCATGGTAAATGGTTGTCAAGATTTTGGATTGCTCTAATTCACAGCACACCTCAGTCTCTTGATGTCAGCCGCACTGAAGGAAAAGAACAGTTGCGTGTTACCATGGTCAGTTGGAGCATGGATGATTTAATGGTTATCACTGCAGTCTCTGATCTTTCTATTAAAATTTGGAATTCTTATACAGGAACTTTGTTGAAGGTTTTAGAGGTTGGTTGAAATTATTCATTTTACAAACTTTTTTTTTTTGCTTGATATTTATTTAGAGTTATGTTTCTTTTCTTTAAAGGCACCAAATGTTTGAACTAACAAAGTTAGATATGATGGTATCATTCTTATTTCTTCCATGTGTGGAAAGAACTATCAGATACTCTAAATTTTGCATTTCAATAATTAAATTTAGAGTATCTGATAGTTATTTTATTAGTTATTTTGCATTTCAATAATTAAATAAAATTGATGTATTAGTATATACAACAATTCATATAAACATTTATGGTATTTGAGGAATCTACGTTTTATTTATAGGGTCATGAAGATGAAGTGTTTGTATTAGAGGCATGTCCCACAGATGCCAGAATCTTGCTAAGTGCTGGCCATGATGGGAAGATGATAATCTGGGACATATACACTGGAGCAAAAATTAAAAAATTTTACAATCTGGTCAGTATAAGAAATTAAACAATTAATAATTTGTAAAATTGTTGAGTACTTACCACTAATTTAATCAAATTATTAATAATAAGTATTCGTCACCTGGACAGTTATAAGTTTTTAAAAAAAATAATTAATGTATATTTTACAGATTGAAGGTCAAGGACATGGTGCTGTTTTTGATTGTAAGTTCTCACCAGATGGTCATTCCCTTGCTGCCACAGATTCTCATGGGCACCTTTTGCTCATGGGATTTGGAACTAATGAAAGATGCAAAAAGGTATGGATACATCTCAGTAATAAAATAAATCATAAGATCACAGATGAAAATTATTGTCTGCTATATAACCATCCCTTATCTCTCTGTGCTCACACTAGCCTTGCGCGTCATTGTGGTCACCTCTGCTATTTACCAATCACCAGTATTTCACATTTTGTTTATATTTAAAATGAGAATTGCATGATAAATCCTTGATCAAAAATATAAAACTTATAAATTAGAAATGTGTTGTATCTACTATCATTTTAACCAAGCATTTATATTAAAATTCATCTTGTTTCCTCAATAACAGATTCCACAGCAGATGTTCTTCCATACTGACTACAGGCCACTTATGCGGGATGCCAATAACTATGTTCTTGATGAGCAGACACAGCAGCAACCACACCTTATGCCTCCTCCATTCCTTGTAGATATAGATGGTAATCCTTACCCATCAGCACTCCAGCGTTTAGTACCAGGGCGAGAACATTGCAATGAATCCAGCTTAGTTCCACATATGGCTGTCAATGCACATGGTTAGTATTAGATGGTCAGTTGGTTTGTGTGAGCATTAAATTAATAAGTGTGAAAAGACAACTGCAGTGGTCTAATTTTTCAGTCAGGAAGCTGTTTAAAATGTTTAAAGAAATAAAATATTTGATAGATTTGTTTTTTGTTGTCAAATATTTATTCTGTCAATGTACCTGAATAGTAAACATCAACTGTCTGTGAGCTTTTTTAAACTGTTAGGAAGTTTTTGCACTCCATGCCTAACAACAAATAGCTCCTGTGTCTATATTAAATTGGAAGATAAAGGAGTAAAGGATTATCTTTAGAACATGTAACCTTCTAATTTGCAGGTGAGTCAGAAGTCATTGGTGACATAGATAATGAAGCAAGACCTACTGAAGCTGTGGTCCACCAGGAAGAAGATTCTGAGACAGAAGATGAGCGGGAGGCCCAACCAGCTGTAGTTGGTAGGGGCAGAGCCAGCCGAGAGGCTAGGCCAAGTATAGATGTTATGATTGAAGAGTTACAGAGGCAGCAAGACCAAAGATTGCGGAGGGAACCTGGAAGCAGTCGAAATAGAGGGGAGCAAGTGATGTCCCCACCACCACTGGCATCTCCACCGACCCCAAGATCTCATGTGCAGAGTGAGTTTCCTCAATTTTAAGAAATTTACATTCAAAACAATGAATTCAGAATCTGAGTGTTCATTTAATTAAAAATCTAAATGTCGACCCGCTTTTTTATTTTTTTTTTTATTTTAACAATGCAGCACACAGGTAGAGTTCAAAAAAATTCTTTAGAATAAAGTTCTGGCAAGAAGAAATTTTATGAAGTGTTTGCAAAAACCATTCTGAATTATTAGCATTGGAAATTTTTTTTAAAATTGCCTGTTTTGAAAGAACTAATAAAAAGTTGATTCAAATCTTCTTCTTGTAAAGAGCATTGATAGTAAAGAGGTGGAGTTCTCCCTTGAACCATATCTTTAAATTCGTAAAAGCTTTATAAATATTTTATTTTAAAGGTTGTGTTTTTTTTCACCACCTATCTTAGCTGTTTATCTGAGGTTTTTATAATCAAAAGTTTACATAAAATTGTATTTGATATTTAAGATTAAATTAACTTTGATTTATCATTTTAACCCTGTTTTTCTATTAATGTTTGTTCTGATATTAAGGTGTTTTTGTGTCTGCTGATTTTATTAAGTCTTTTCCAATTGAACTCCAGGGATGATATTATAGATTTTAATAAGCTGTCAGGATTTTAAAAAATGGATGATTGTTGTTCGTTTGGTATAATCGTAACATTGTAAGTGAAATTATAAACATTTTATCATCAGATCGAATAGGCATGCGCCGCAGTGGAGAGATAGAAGGCGTTAGGCAGTCTTTGGGAAATGTTTCACTACGCTCCACCAAAAAAGAGAGAGATGCAGCCAGGAGACAGGTCACTGTGAGACCTCTGGATCTAGAAACATTGAGGTATTCATCTGTCATTTGTTTGGTATAATTAATTTTGATTTACTAAGATGTTTCAGTTTACTTTATCTTCTATTTTAAATAAAATATTTTGGACACTAGCAAATAGGTAATTATTCCTGTTCATAACTTTATTTCCCTATTATTTCATGAAGTCTGTCTCATTAATTTTTTACTGCAGGGCTTCAGAAGAAAAGAGGTCTGCTTTTACAGAAGAAGAAATTAGAAAATTTGTTACTGAAAGAAAAAAGAAACTCCTATCACCTCATGATGTGAGTTAGTTTAGCTCTTCGTATCAGTTTATTTGTACATCTTCTACTCTAGCTTTGTATCAGCTTTTTAACATTATACCTGTACAGTAATTGCTTTCACAACAATCAAGCAGTTCATACAGTAGTGAATAACCCAAAGTGTTAAATCTGCACTTAATTATTACAGCAAAAATGAAGATGGGTGAGATCTTCAATATTACAAAATTTATAATTATTATTGTTTGTATATCCTTCCACGACTCAGATATCCACCGCAAGCGTTCTAGTCAATAAAAAGCGTGGTCAGAAGCCCAAGAAGGCAGCAAGTGGAGATGGAAATAGGCTTGATGACATTCCTGAAAATGTGGAGACGGCAAGAAACAGGCTCACCACCAGAGCTTTGTATGACACAGAGGAGGTTAGCAAGTTAAACTTTCCAAAGCTTCATTTATTTTATTTTAAATAAAAAGTTTCCCATTGTATAATAACATTAAATTTAATAACATCTTTAAAATTTTCTGTTTAAAAAAAAAAAAAATTTTTTGTGAGAATTAACAACCATGTTTAAAGAGCATGGCACTTCAATTCAGTATTTAAAAAGGCAATATTCTCTTTATTTGATTGTATAGAAGAAAATAATTGGGACCATAACAAAGTCAAGATGTGTATTTAGATTAAGATCTTAGATGTTATTTGAAAATTTTATAAAATTATAATTCAGTTAATATTTTCTATATCTTTAGGAAGATGAAGATGATGAATCTGACTTATGGGATAGGTAAGAGCCAATTACAGATTATGGATATTTAAAACAAAATATACATAATATACATATGTATTTATGTCAAAGAAAAACAGCAGATTTTTTTAATGGGGTTTTAATGTTTAATAAAAAGATTGACCATTGGTTTGTAAGGATATTTTGTGGAAAAAAATTGAATCGCTTTAAATATACATGCCAAAAATTTGTGCTAATTTTGAAAAATCAGTTGTATCCTCTTTGTCTCCACTAATTATATATTCCAGAGAAAGCTTATTTGTTTCATATTCCTATTAGTGACAACAGTAGCAGTGATTACTCTGACTGGGTTGGGGATCAAGGGAGCAGTAATTTAGAACCACCAAAAAGGAGGTCCCAGCGAAAACCCAAAAGGAGACGACTTTCCTCAACAGATGAGGATGACAACATAGATGAGGTTGTTGATGCAGACGAGGAGGAAATGGACACAGAAGACACCACTTCAGAAGATAGTAGTGATGCTGATAAAGAGGACACTAATGAACCTACCACTTCCACTAAAAGAGAATCCAAGCGGTTTGCAGCCAGCAAGAAAACCTTTAAAAAGAAGCAACAAAAACCGGAGAGGGTAATTTTGTTTACAATAATCAAAAGCTAACAACAAATAAATTAAATGAAATACAATATTGAAAAAGTAGGTATATTTAAATGCATATGAGTTTGCAGTCTTAAATATTGGTTTTTATATTTTTATTAACATATATTTTTGTGACTTTTACAAAAATAATTAGATCTATTATAATTTGTTTCTTTATACAAGTTTTAAAAATGTTTAAATCTGCAGAGGAAAAAACCCCGTCATTTGCCTACTGACCCGAACCTGAAACCAATAACAGAGTTAGATGAGAAAATGAGACCACCTGAGTGGATCACAACAGTGATTCCCCGCAAAGCTCCATTTGTGCCACAGATGGGGGACGAGGTTGTGTACTTCCGACAAGGACATGAGCAATATCTTCATGCTGTTCTAAGAAAAGAAGTGTACAAAGTTAACATAGACAAGAATCAGCCCTGGCACAAAATACCTATTCTGAGGGTAACTTGATATTCATTATTTATTTTCCAGAAAGACTATTGGATATTTAATTCTCTGACTTCTTATCTGTGCAACTTGTATGGGTGGGGATGTTTTACTTCTAATGTGCATTAATTAACCAGACACTTTGAATTTAAAGTTTTTGCAATGACTGTTAAACATCTGTGTGTGGAAAGCATTTATTTTTGTTAAACTTGGAATATTGTAAATTTTGTAATCCATAATTATTTTCTTAGGCCCATGAACTTGTGAAGATTGTTGGCATCAAGTGGTTAATGAAACCTACTCGACTTTGCTGTCTGAAGCTTGCATTTATGGACCCTAACTCGGGGAAGCTCACAGGGAAAAGTTTTACCATCAAGTAGGTTATTCTTGAACTTAATGCAATTATTTATGAAAAATAAGGCTAACAACACAACTAAACATCTTTTGGTGTTTTTTTGTGTGGTCTAGTTAAAAAAAAAAGGATTTAAGTTATGTGGTTTCTTTTAAGCTAGTTTATTTGAGATAAATAATGGTTTGATGAGCTCCATATATAATGATCTTGTAGGTACCACGACATGCCAGATGTAATAGACTTCTTAGTCCTCAAGCAACACTATGATATATCTGTAGAGCGAGGCTGGAGAACAGGTAATTTCACACTGAAAAATTATTAATTTAAATATTAAATTTTAAAAACCAAACAGGAAAAGGACATGACGGCTATGTTTGGTTTTTTAAATTTTATTTCCACTCACTCCCTTTCCGTACTTCTTAACTTTGTTTTGTCTGAGTTTGCACCCACTCTTATTCTTTTCTATTTTTTAGGTAGGATACATGTAAATATATATTATGTAAATTTAATTTATACTTATTTAAATGTTTTGTTTTTTGTACTGAAGAAGACATTTGCCGAAACATTTACTTTTGTATTTTGTAAAATCATCTTTAAAGCTGAACATATATTGTTTTATTTACAAAAATTGTTTGTGTCTAATTAATTAACCAATCAATTAAATTATACAAATTAAATATCTTATTTTTTCAAAGGATAATTGACTTTGTTTTTAGAAAGCTGACCTTTAAAATTTAGGATTAGTAATTCTACTAAACAATTTTCAACAGGCACAAGATTCCGGTCTATGATAGATGACCAATGGTGGATGGGTGCCATTAAGTCTCAAGAACCACTTAGTCCAGATTATCCAGACAGTTTATATCAGTGTTTTAATGTGCAGTAAGTTTCATTTGAAAGTTTATTGTTTCAAATGTGTTGCTTCAGCTGAGTTACACTGTGCCTTTTATTGGAGGTTAATGTTGTTTTAATAATATTGCTGAAATTTATCAAACTACCGTACGTTTAAATGCCTATAGTACATACTAAGTAAATAGTTAACTGTGTTTGACAACAGTATTTGATGACTCCTCTAGGTGGGACAATGGAGAACATGAGAAACTCAGTCCATGGGACATGGAGCCAATCGATCCCAAACGTAAATACTTTTTCATGTTTGATTTAATGGTAGTCTTTTTTTTTTTTCCCCCATTTCCCCCATTTTCATATTTTTAATTAGGTAGAAGATTTGAAGTTAAAATTGTATGTGCTTATATAAATATACAAAAAAAATTGAATAAATGACAGGTGGTGTAATTGATTTTCTGGACAAATAATTCTTTTTAATATTTTTATTATACTTGCATACAAATTGCATTATAGAATGCCTATTTCAATTCCTGCAGGAAAGCCAGCTGTTGTTGGTGGAGGTGTTGGAGTGACGCAAGATGAATACAAGTCTCTCCTTTATGTGCCTAAGAAAACTGAATGGCCATCTTGTGGTAGAGAGGCAGAGTCACAACGGCTAATAAGAGGTCTTGAAAGCCTGATGCAGCATTCTGTTGCTGAGCCATTCATTGCACCTGTAGATCTGCAGCAATTTCCTACCTATGCTTGCTTTGTTCCATACCCTATCGATCTAAGTACTATCAGAACAAGGCTGGAGAATGGATTTTACAGGTAAGAATCAAATATTCCTCTGAATGACCCACATTTTTAAAATCAAATTTTTTCATTATCCTGCTTGTTTGTATTTTTAAATGGCCTAGTTTGCATTATAACTGCAGAACTTCTTAAAAAACCTGTTAAAACCACAATGCTACATATAGCTATAAAACCACAGTTTTAAATATAGCTATAAAACTCCAGTGCTAAATACAGGTTTTAAACTACAGCACTTAAAGCTGTCCATATCATGGATTTTCTTCACATTTGACCTTCACTCATTCATTTATTTAGAACTTTCAAAATACATTATTTGTTTCTTACATCTATCAGAGGAGCTGAATATTAACCACCAGTTTAATAATATAGGCAGTCATTTTTTAGTTTTTATTTTCTATGGTCCTTTTGTTTTTGTTCTAATATATTAATTTTTTAAAATTTACTTAGACGTGTGACTGCACTTCAATGGGATGTCAGGCTCATCTCCGCTAATGCCAGCATATTCAATCAAACAGGAAGCAGCATAGTTAAAAATGCTACTGCCTTGTGTGAGACTCTGCTCAGGTTCATCAAGTAAGGCTCTATTAAATAACTTTCCCAAGGCTTTATATCAGAAGTTGGGAATAGTTGAAAAATCTATACAGCCGCAGCTATTCCAACAATTCTTATGTGAGCTTGCCCATAAACATGATGTACTGACAGGATCATTGAATATTAATATTTATAGCTTCATAGTTAATTCTATGATTAATGAGATACAAAAAATTTGTGTAAATAGAAAGTATAATACAAAAAAATTGTGTAAATAGAAAGTACATGTTAGCTTAAATTATCATATGACAAAATACATATTCAAACATTTCTGCTATTGCCTTTATCAGTACAGCAAATAACATTATAGTAAAGAAAATTTCACACAATATATTAATCTAATTAAAAGCATTATCACAGTCCAAACCTCTTGTAATTTAGTTTCCTGATTTTAATCTGCTTAAAAGCTTATCTGAGTCCAAACCTCTTATAATTAGTTAATGGATATTATGAGCATTCATATTAAAGATTTACTTTGAAAGATTTTAAATCTGAATAAAATTTTATCGCAGTCCAACCCTCTTTTTTTACTCAGGGATCATGGATGTCAAGATCCCCTTCCCATCCTAACAGAACTGGCGCACAGTGACCTTAAAACAGGCTCCAGTGATGATGAAAGTCAACCAGGGTCATCAGGAGGGACAACATCAAAGGTAATTTTAACACTCTGTCATCACATAAGCAAAAAAAAAGTTTAGTGGTGTTTTTAAAGCATTAAATGCTTATTTCTTTTGAATATTGTCAATTAAGGATTTACATTTTTTTTTTAACATTATATATGTGACTGTTTTTAATTATCAAGCTATCATGAATGTTAACATTTATTTGATGTGTAGTAAATTAAAACTGAAGGAACCGTATTTTATGAGTACATAATTGCGGGTATAGTGTGTTCAAACATCACAAGTTTGATTAATAAATAACTATAACCTTTTAAAAAAAAATGTCCACTTATGTGAAAGTGATTGTTTTAGTTTGAGCTGGGTAGTTTGAATCCCTTAATAACAATGTGTATACTTATTCCTACAGAGACAGAGCAGTCCAAGTCGTAAGCAGAAAAACAAGCCAAATCCTAAGGCCTGGTTAGAACATAGTGAATCACTCCTGGCTATGTTGTTTGAGTGTGAAGATTCAGAACCATTCCGTCTACCAGTAAATCCAGCTCTCTATCCTGTAAGTATGATTGTGTGTAAGATTGGATATCTTGACAATTAATTTTTTTTTAAACCTGCTGGTAAATGCTTTTACATTCATAACATTACGAGTCATTTTTTTAACTTGAAGATAAAATTAAACTCAACAGGAACTGATAGATTAAGGCTAACTTTCTTAACCTATTCCCCAGGATTATGAGGATGTAGTGACAAATCCAATGGACCTGACAACTGTACATACGAAATTAGCTACTGGTCACTATGGCAACCCAGTAGATATGTGTCGTGATATCCGTCTCATCTTCCAGAATTCCAAACTGTATAATACAAATAAACGCTCAAGGGTAGGTTGAAAAAAAAAAATCTTATCTGTGCTCAAATGAATTAAGTACCATTGATAAAAAATATATGCAATTTAGAAAAATTCACATTTTAAATTGGTGTGTAGCATTTTTTAATTAAAGGTGAAAATATAATCATCTGAAAAAATCTCCTCTCTTTAGATATATTCCATGACCCTTCGTCTTTCTGCCTTGTTTGAGGCACAAATTATTGAAATAATTAACAATTGGAAAGCTGCTTGTAAAGCCTCAGGTCGTGTTCCGAAGCAAGCTCAGTAAGTCATTTCAGTTGTTGACATTAATGTAGAAATATATCACCAATAGATTGTAGATTAGGAAACCAAGATACAAAGTTTAGCCAAATAAAGATGTCCTAAAATTTCTTTAAAAACAATAGGCATTGCTTAATCTATATTATAATATGAGGCAAGTTTTTAACAAAGTAAATGTTTTCATCCATTTAAATTCTCATCACACAGAAGATTTAACAAAACAACTGAATTACTTGGATTGTTTAATTTTATAAAAGTGGATCCATGTCATTGTTTTACTTACATTATCTTTTCTGTGTGGGATACAGTTCTAGAAGATTATAGCTCTTTATTGACTGGTTTAACTTATACATTTATGTTGTATTTAACAAAACTTTCAGCAGCTCAAAACATTCATCCACTCCTAAACCATACACCTCATGGGATATTTTAACTTCTGGTATGCCAGACCCTGGTCAACCGTCTACCTCAGGGCAGTCACTGCAAATTAGTAGACTCTCAATAAATGTTCAAAGTAATGGACATGCGACAGGTAAGAGTTTAAACTTTTTATTGGAATTACTTTCGTAGTTTTTTTTTTGTTTTTTTTCTCCTTTAACTTACCGCATATACTCGTTCATAAGCCGACCCCTTTAGTTTTCGCCTGGAAAAGCCTGAAAAGCGTAACTCGCTCATAAACTGACCTCATGCCAGTGGAAGCAATATGGTACAAAATAAAAAAATTTTTGAACTAAAAAGACTTAAAAACTAATACACATACAATATTATGTATAGCACAGATACTCACTTTGCATGACTACCAGTAATTACAATAACCATACAAATAGATGACGACAGCTTGGAAAGAAATCCATTGTCGCCTTGTCTTTATGCATGCCTATATTCTGCTATAAATATCAACTAACAACTTTGTCTAAGTGCAGAATACCTCCGTATGCTCATATTAAATATAGGTCACAAGCTGTTTTATGCTATGTGGTAAACATTGCAGAAAGCGAGTCAATTGAAGGTAATTGTTAAAACAAAACTTTATTTCATTCCAAGAAGAAAATAAACCATATAGAAACAATAGTCATCTGGTAATATATTCTCAAATCTTGCAGAATAGAACCTCAGTTGGGTGGACCGGAATCTATGTAAATTCCGAGTTTATTCTAACTAGGCCATCTCTATGAGCCCTTAGATCATTCCATCGTTATCATGCAGGCAAGATGTCTGGTTTTGATTGTATTATAGTTAATGTTTCTCTTGACAATATGCATATGACAGGGGCCAGCCAGGCATCAAAGGTTACAACCACCAATGGTGACGCTGATGATTCAGATGCTACCATTGTTGATAATGAAGATAAAAAAGATGATGAATGTGACACAGAAATCTGTGAAGATGAAGCCAACGGACGTATTACCAACTCAGACAATGATGACAGCTATGATGAAGTTGGTGATGATGATGATAAGGACAATGATTACAGGCCAAACAGTCAATGCTTTAAGAATTCAACAAAGTACTCGTCCAGGGGTAAGATTTTCTATTATTCGTTCCATATGGATGTTGTGCTACTTCCTTACTTATTCAATATTCCCGAACAAAGGGAAGTAATTTCTTTACGTTGATTTACGTTCATAAAATATTTTTTTAGCTGCTTAAGTTTAATCAATTTTTTTTCAATTTTTTTTAAAATGGACATGTGCATTCAGAAATAAATTGGGTTTAATAAAAAGTATAAAATTAACGGCTAAAAAAAATTTACTTGTGGCACCTCCGGCAAACTTGTGCTAGATACAAACATGCCATACTAAAGGCACATAGATTGAAATTAAATAAGATAAAAACTCCAGTTTTCTTATTAAAAATCATACCACAAGGAAATGTGTTACTACAGCTTGCATACTTATCTGATTAATTATCTCTAATGACACATAAATTGCTATCAAATTCATCATCTGATTCAATTCAATTTTTTACCAAATTGCTATTGATTGATGCAAAAAAACCTCAAAATTTGACAAAAATCTGACCAAGGCAAGCTTTTTTCATTTTAAAGTTATCTATCCATTTAGGAAGTAAGTAAACATTGAAGGGGAGAGTATACATGAATTTTCTTGTCATATAATATTATGTAATAGACGCTGATCATTTGTATATAAAATGTTTTAAAATGTGTCACCAGACTGACCTGCTCCAAAATGTCAGTTCTCTTGATGAAATTTTGGTTTGATTTGCTCTCAAAGCTTCAATAAAAAAATACCAATGTCAAGTGTGAGAAAAAATGCTTTTTTATTCTTAGGGAGATCTTCCAAGAGAGGCAAAGGAAAATCCACAAGACCTTTGCCTGCTCGATCAGCTAGTGAGCGTCTAAAAAAGACCAATATCTTTTACACATCTGATGGGAACAGTGAGGAAGATGACCTGTCAGAGGAAGACGATGATGAAGAAAAAGTGACATTCAGAGGTGGCAGGACTAAAATGAACAATAAGCTGCCTGATGATTCTGACTGTAGCCAGTCCAGTGACAGCAACAGTCGACATGCAACGAGGAGGAGAAGACCCCCGAAGGCTAGGCTCAAGGACAAGAGAAACAAAAAATCAACCAGAACAAAGCATCCCTCCAAAAAATACTCGTCTGAAAATGAAACCCCCACCCACAGAAAAGCCCGTAGCACAAGATCAAGGAAAAGTGTTTTTAATTCTGATGAGGATGATGAGCTGGGCAGTGGTGAAGACAAGAAAGTTGCCACAAGTGCCTTATCTCGTCCGACGAGGTCAGCAAGATTGCAAAAGAAGTATTACAACGAAGCTGATTCTGATGCACCAGAGGAAGATGATGCGGACAATGATAAGGATGCAGAGGTTGATGAAGAGGATTCTAAAGATGTGTCTGAATCAGACGAAGAGTCCTCTTCAGCTGTTGACGATGCTACAGATGATGAACTCATTAGTGCAACTTTGAAAAATGGGGTTCTCAAACCATCAAAGTCCAAAAGCTCGACCCCTTTTAAGCACTCTCAGAAACGCTCCAAAACGTTACTTGAGGATGACTCCGATAGCGAACCAGATCTCCCTAAGCGAAAGCGCTCGCGAACCTCTCCCACCAATAAGCCTTACAAAAAGCCTTCTCTGGTGGGAAAATCTAAATCTTCCATTAGAAAAAACGGTAAAGGCGGTTTGGGTCGGCAGACAAGGAACAGGGGTCAACAACGGGTCACTTACCTGGAGGACTGTTCTGATGACTACGAGGAAGAAGATAGCAGGATCAAAGTTAATCCCACTGAAGATCACACGGACACTGACAGTGATTCTTCCACGCCTTATTCCAGGAGCGTCAGCAGTAGAGGCAGAGTAAGGAAATTGACTGCACGTGCCAAAGCTAGTCTCAAAGGCCACTAGTTTTGACACTTCACTCAGTGTCCAGGGAAAGCTTTGGGACTTGTGTATTTTCTGACGGAGGAGAGTGCCATGTGATAGCGGTTCATAATTACAAGGATTTATTTTGGTGGTATCCATTTTACCTACTGGGTCAACATGAGGAATTAGGAATTCTGTGGGAAGATTTAGAACTTAAGATAAATGTCAAAGGTAAAGACTTTCTTTATTTATGAACTTCTGCCCATCATTCATTGATGTTCAGTATTTAATATATTTTAAAAGATATTATTCCCCTGCACGAAATTTACAATGTTTTTTTTAAAAACTTAAGAAAATGTTGCGTTGTTGGTAATAAAACTATTTATACAAAAAAATATAAAAAAATTTAAGAACCAATTTCATTAAGTGGCTACTAATTTAGTTATATTTCAAAATTAAGTAAACCCTGTTTTTAACAATAATAGTGCTTTGATTATTAATAAATAGTGTGTGAAAATATGTGCATTTAATGTTAAGTATATATTAATAGCGCAGAGATAAGAATGAAGCGTTAAGATACTACTGAACCTGTAAGAGATTGTCTTGATTGTTGAGTGCAGTACCTACCGGCCAGTCTAAATGTTTGTAATTGTGTTATCTTGCTGCCTACAACTAGAGCCCTAGCGTGGATTCACTGGTTGTAAGAGAGGAGTCATTAATTTATTGTGACATGTTCAGATTTGTTAGTTTTGGGGTTGTTTTTTTTCTAATTTATTCCACGAACTCAGTTTTCATAGTTTGGATGGGCATAAATATGGTGTTTTTTGTGTTCTCCCTGTGTTTCTTTGCTCAATTTATCCCTTCTGTCATGAATGTTAAAATAGTAGTGAAAGTTGTGTGCATTAATTGCTGATTCTGCTCTGATCCGCTGCTGGTGATGCGGATTAAATTTTGGCTAAAATCTTTATTGAAATTTCAATGTATACGCTTGACAGCACTAGGTTCTAATTAAAGAAACAAAATTCACATTAGGGTTCAGTGATAAATAAAAGAAATATGCTTTAATGGTGGCAATGTAATAGATTTAATTAAGTGAAATAATTTGGTAAATAACAATAAGTAATTTTGTAATAATCATACAGTTTGTATGCCGACAGTTTTTTTGAACCCTACCTGAAGTAATGGCTTGTACATTTCATCATCTTTATATACCAGGAGTAAGTGGCATGTATTGGCTTTAAGATAGTGGTCTGGAAATTAAAAGAATTTTTTCTCTTAACTAATTGAATGTAAAGACACAATTTACTTGTGACAAACTACTTCAGTTTCATACATTTCTTCAATGACTTTAAATTTAATGAGCCATCGTTTGTACTTGTGCCTTAGTTTCTCAGGGAAAAACTATGCATGCAGTATTTATCATGTATAGCTAACTTGCTTCAAGTGGGCAATGTTGTACTTAAAGTTTATTATCTCATCTTAGCGGGGGGGGGGGGGGGGGGGGGGGGGGTTAGACTTAGACAGAAGGGCTTAATGGGAGACAGAAGGAGTTGATCAGAGATAGAAGGGTTTGATTGGAGACAGAAGAGGGTTGATTGGAGGAGACAGAAGAGGGTTGATTGGAGGAGACAGAAAGGGTTGATTGGATTATAAACTTTAACTCTAGATGTCTATTTTGACATCATTTAAAGACTTGGGTGCATTTGAATGCGACACAAATCTGCCCTCATCAAAGGTTTTCAAACAGAAATCGTCTTAGCTCATGGTGGAGCTTTTAAAAAAATGATTTTATTTTTAAAAATCCAATGGAGCACCATTTTGCAAGCTATTTAATAGTGAATGGTTTGTGTATGTCTTATCCGGTGTGTCATCGTAGTGATGTGATGTGTTGTGCAAAAATATGGATAATATGTAGGATATGCCTTTTGTTGTCACACATTAGTTGAAAGCTTCAAAATGTGAAATGTTAATTGAATGTGTATCTAGTATCTAACTGAAAATTTTTAACAGCTCTTTCAGTTTTTGCTCATGATGTTTTAGGCTAATCCTGTCTTTCATATGGCTGTAAGAGATTTGGAAGTAACATTATGTTGTACTGTGTGTTCCACATAACTTATCTCTTGTAGGGAAAGGTCTATTTTCTACTTTGTGGTCCACGTAACTTCATCTCTTGTGGGTAACATTCTATGTCCTATTTTGTGGACCATATATATTTAAGAGGTTCTTAAATGTTAAATCTGTTTATTTAAAACAACTTTTGTCTGCGATCCTCTCAATAAATGTCAGTGAATGTGATAAAGTGATTACACTTAACAAACATGGTGGACCTGGAGACTTTGTAACTTCTATTAAAAGTTAAAAATTCATTGTCTATTCAAGGTTATATCTATCCAAGTTAACTCACTGACTGTGACGTCAGTCTTAGATCAGATGATCTCACAATGTATCGCTGTGAAATAAATGAGAACTGTGGTAGTTAGTTTAGCATGTTCAAGGTAGATTCAGTTGCGTAGGAAGTGGGGTGCAGGAAGGGTCGGTATGTCCCGGGGCAGCACTTTTTCCCCTTATAAGCAGGGGCGCATTTCTGTTAACTATAGAGTATTGTTCGTGGAATGGGGCGGCAACAAGCTTTACCCACCCAAGACCTCACAAACTTTGCCACGCCACTGTGTCGATTCCCAGGCTTGTGTTTCCATTATTTTTTATCACTCATCAGACACCAAGAAAATAGCTATGTTAGTATTTTAAAAAATAACAAAATGGTTTCGTCTTGGTCAAGTTTAAAGCTTATTTATTTAAATTAAATTTTTTTTTTTTAATGCATTCTTAATGATTAGAATAGGTTGGTCTTTTAAAACTAAGCCTTGTTTCTGTGTGTCTCTTACTGTTTATCCATTGCCAATTACGGGAATAGGCACAATGATAGTGTATAGCATCAGGAAATATGATAATTTCTTTGCTCATGACAAAATAATTATCATGTCAGTAGACCGCCCTGTGTGTTTTACTTGTTTTCTCTGTATGTTACTGTTAGTGTAAGTAATCAGCACATTCTAGTTACTACTTACCTGAAACACTAGTCACAATATTTTTGAAAACATGTAGACTTTCTCTTACAGCAAATGCTTAATGCTAGATAATAAAGGATGTTACATTTTATGTCCAGGCAATGAGTGTTACATTTTATGTCCAGTCAATGAATGTTATATTTAACTTCCAATTCCAATGTACGAATGTTACAAAATGAGTGAGTTATTTTCAGCATTTGACTTGAATATCCCCCTCATTCCCCGTTTTTCTAACAGCCATTCATGTCACTATTTGCTTTATTGTTTTGATGCTCTACCATTGTTTAACTCTGTGACTTTATTATTGATGACGTCATTGTGTACAGAAGCCACTGTTGTGCCATCCTGGAGGCAGCAAATACAATTGTTTATGATGAATTGATCCTGGTGGTTTGGATTCTTGTTCTTTTGTGTGGATGGTGCATGTCAGTGGATGAGGATAGTCGGAAAAGGGGATGGGTGGGTGTGCGTAAAGTCTACTTTTACATGGGGAGGCACATACAAAATTACATTGTTAATTTTCTATTTTTAGGATATCCAAAAAAAAAATGCAAATTTAAACTTATGCAAATTGCTCCCGGGTATACTATATAAATACGATAGCAAAAAGAGTGGAGACAGCTACGCGATGTGCATCTGCATCGCTTCGATTATGTCAAGACACAATAAACGCCATGGTGATACTGCACCCAAACCCGTACACAGCCGTATCGCCTTGCTGCTGGATCCAAATTGTATTGAGCGTGAGGCTGAAGACTCGGGCAACTCTTCCTGACCTAAACCCAAGTCGCAACGCGTGTCACTCTTAACTATAATCATTCATTCTTAGACTGATAAAAGTCCTGAGGCCATTTTATGCCTACAGGCATCTGGACACCTGGGCCTCACGCTTCTAGAAGACTCGCTCGTTTAGAGGCATCATGCGTCACAGACGGTTAATGAAGATTGAAATTTTTGGCAATTTAATTTGATTGAAAAGTATGTGAACCAATTTTAACCCATGGTATTGAAGGCACATTTCAAAATTAATATTATAAATGCGAATCTAATTGAAAACTTTCTAAAGGGGAATAACTTTCGTCAAAAATTTTTTACTTCTCCTAGATATGAATCGAAATTTTTAACACCCCTAAAAAAAACAGTTTGCCGTATAAATCCTTATAAAATGTGATATATAGCAATATGGGAAAAGGGGGGGGGGTAATTTTACAAGACATACATACAAGTAAAACACTTAATAAGAATCCCAATGATTGTCGTCGCCGTCCCCCCCCTTTTTTTTTTCTCCAAGGCTCGCTACCGCACATCTTGTTCACGTCAGTGAACTTTATTAATATCCAATGACCCACCTGCTTTAAGACTGCAGAAGTTTTAGAAAAACAAAAGAGAATATAAACACCTGCGATATTTTTTTAAAAAAAAATATTTAAAGAATCTCACGTAGCGCAGGTATTTTGAGTTATTGGGAATTTTATTTTATCTTCCAATTGAAAAACTGATTTTTTTTTTTTTTTAAAGAAATAGAATGTACTGTCATCGGCAACGAGTCTATGAGCCAAGGTTCAGCTCGATGGCTTGGCGGTGGGCCAGTTAGCCGTCCGAAGATTTTGCCACCCAGCCACGAACGGCGAAGTTAATATAAAGGATTTAAAAAGAAGAGTAAAGTAAGAATCTTTGTTTACAGTCACGTTAGCAGCGGTATTAGACCTAGCGACACCACTGCTTAGTAGTGACGTTAGTGGAGAAAACCAGTGCCGTCTTAAGGCACTGAGAACTTGTCCAGGGTCTCATGCCTCTAGGGACCTTCATGCCTCTGGGGGGCCTCACGCTTCTAGGAACATTATAAATTATACTTCCAATATCATTTGAGAATCTTGAAAATTTTTGGAAATTTATTTTACTTTCAAAATTAAAGCGGGAAGACCGTTTCTCCAGTTTATCTAAACAAGTTTTTTTCGACTCTCATTACTATTCAATTTTTCGGTAACAGCTTTAGAAAAAGTTTATTTTGATAAATTATTAATTTGAAGAAAAAAACTCCATTGATTATTTTCTTGGTGTGGGGGTTGCTGGCAATGTTCCCTTTAAGCTGCGCGGCTTCGCGGCCGCTCAGCAATCTCACAGACGCCGCGCAGCAGTTTTGAGTATACCGCGCAGCTAATTTGCACTTAAGTGTGTTTGTGTCTGTAGGCTGAACATTTTGCGCACCAAAAAATTGATGCTGTAAAAAATTTGCGCACAACTTTATGATTTTGCACACGAACCAACAAACCTTAGAGGGAACATTGGTTGCTGGGGGGG